GGACAGATAGCACCTATTTAAAACTTATAAAATTTATTAATAAACTAATAGAGCATAAAAAGATGTTTTGACTAATCTCCCACAATTATTTTTGTAACATGGTATAATAGTATTACTGCTATACAGGGTGTTCCAAAATTAGAGGTAAATATTTTAACTAGTGAAGGGACTTTTCATGAAAAATAATTTTTGGACAAAATTCCAAACGAACATTTTATGTATATTTTAGTGTTCTATATTTTTGACAAGGGGGGTAGCCATGTGTGAGTTGAAGTAATTTTAAGGTGAAGGGGGGAGAAAAAGTTCTTTATATCTCACAAGGAAGATGTGAGATATAAAGGACTTTTTCTCCCCCCTTCACCTTAAAATTCTATATTTTTATTTACCAAATTTTTCAATTGCTATAAATAACTCGAGTAGTTTGTGACATCCACGAGATACAGCAAATATTTGGTCAAAGCGATGTGTGGCATAGAACGTCTGTTGCAGGCAAATTTTTATTTTCCTATAATTGGTTAACTCGTCTGGCATTTGAATTTACTACGAAAAGAACTTCATCTCATTTTCGACGGCTGAACTTCTGCTTAATGTGACGTTAACCTTAAACCGCGGCGTTAATCGCTGCTTACCTTATTTTTATCCTTTTTGTGGTATTTGGTATGTGATGTATTTTTTTTTTTTTTAAATAAAAATCATTAAATAAGTTATTTATTTCCAAAGAATGTAATACACAGACAAAAGTCACTAAAGACTTGAGTTTATTAAGATAGGTATTTCGAAAAATTGTCAATATGCCCGCCCACATAGAATCGATTATATTACATTGAAGAGATCATTATATTAGAAATCATTTTTCCTAATACCATCTTAACGTTTGATGAATAACTATGAGGAATGAATGTATATATTTTCAGATAACAGTACTTAACAAAATGTACAAAAAACATTAGTCAGAAATAATAAAAAATAGATACGCAAAATTCTAAATAACTTACTATAATAATAAAATATAAATGTATTTTTTATACAAAATCGATAACAAAAGTCCACAAAGACCTGCATAGTTCGATGGAAAAGAAATTAGAAAAAAATCAATAACAATATTCCAACAAATTACATTTGATTGCAATGATAAATAAATAACTTCATTCACACTATTATACAATACATTCAAATTTGTTACTCAATAATTTAAAAGTCATTAAAAATAAATAATTCCAAGTGATATATGCAATAAAACATTACATTGCACTTATGATCAGTACATTTCTGCTTCAGCAATTAATTTAGTATAATTTGTATCAAAAAAAGTACTACATTGATCCTTAATATTTTTTAGATAAATATATAATATCAATAATATAATTACGAAACAAAAAAGTAGTTCTTTCTTTGAAATTTGAATGAATATTACTGTTAAAATTTTGTGCCAATTTGAACTTTGAATTAAGCAAGAGAAATAACTGGATCTAATGTAGAATTCCACGAAGATTTAACAATTCAATATGAATTGTAGTAAAATTTGTAACTAAAAAATGATTTATCATACAAATTAACAGTAGCATAAAATTAACTTCATAATTTTTTAATCATTAAAAAAGTAATTCAAATTTGACAGTAGTGTATACATAAAAGAATAAAAAACAGTTAACATTCGCCAATTGACAAAAAATATATTTACAATTTCATAGAATAATTTAAATACGTCAAAATGCGTGTACAGAAACTATAGCATAACGTTTTTTTGGTTCCATAGAAATAATTCTTATACTATTTTCAAAGTGATTAGAAACGAGTCAAAACAGAAAGAAATTATTTCAAAGAAGAAAATAACAAAAAAATAATCATAAACCGAACTAATAAAAACGAAAATCACAAAACAAAAATTAAAATTAAAGTAAAACAAAAATTAGATCCCAAAAATTAAAATTTCAAATTAAGTCGATGTATAATAAAATTGAACCATTTTTGTATGACCTGTACAATGATAACAAATAGACGGATTGATATTTTTGATCATATTGTAAAAAAAATCTCCAAAATTTTATATAAATAAACTTGCAATGCGGTAAAAAATCGTATAATAATCAATTTGGTGTAATATATAATAAAAAAAGGCATCCTCAAAAAACTAGTTTGTTGGTACAACTTTTATTCCTTATACTGTCTCTATCTTAAGGGGCAAAATAAAAAGTTTGAACAAACAGAATTTATAATTATGAATCAATTTTGTATCTTTAATTTCCTGAAGATGAAAAATAATATTTTTATTGGCTCAAAAGAATTTTTACAATTTGAGAAAAAATAAAATAAGTTCCATTCTGTTTTGTGATTTTTTAAACATTTGATAATGTCTCCAAGGTGTCAGAAAGTACATTTACAGTCTGATATTGAAAAGAAAACGTTTTAAAATAGAGCCGTTTTTACAATGAACTTTGGCTTTTAATGAAACACGATAATTTTTATTTTGATTTTTTTCGTTAAAATAAATTTAAGATTATAATCTTAACTTTCATTCACTGGTTATATAGGGTGCCTCAAAATACGAAGTACGTTCTGTATGAAATTTACAGTGTATTTGCAAAATTAATTCCAAAACAGAACAAAAATATTTACTATCCATTATGAAAAATCCCCAAATTTCACCCATGAAAAATCACATTGGATTTTTTTTATATAGAAAATTCTTATTGGTAATTTTATAAATATTTATGTAGAGAATACATTGAAAAAATATAAACATTCCCTAAAAAATTGATGAACTAAACTTATAATGAAAAATTATAATTAGAGATATACTGTAATCTCCACTAACCTGCTTTATCGTAGTTTTGAAACATTTACAAAAAAAGCACTGTAGAACTTTATACAAAACGTTTCATATCCACACATACACCCTGTTAAAACAAAATGATTTTTTTCTGAATTGACAACTGAAAAATATAGAAATAGTCTCTTTTTAAGTACACATTTTTCTAAAACTTCACTCATTTATATACAAGTAACAGCAACACAGTATTTCTAAATACAAGACACCCACAGGTACAGTAATACATGATACATAGTCGATACACACGTCACTCTCAGCAGTTTCATTCAATAAATTAAATTAAACCTAACATTTTTTTTCACAGAAAATCACAGTTGTACATTATTACTGATAAATGTTCCCCAGGAAGCATTCCAAAATTTACTGAGTGTCTAGCCAAAATTATAACCGTATAATTCATATCAATTCTTAATACAATGACTGTGTATATATGTATTAATGAAAAATACCTTAGGTAAATCATAGATCAATCGTCACAAAAATTTTAAATGAGTCTCATCAGGCAGCAGAAGACGAAGACAGAAATAATCGGTATTTTTAACACTTATTAAAAATAAACAAATGTGGGACAAGAAATTGAGTCTGGATATTCAAAATATAAGTTTTCCGTTATTTTCAAAACAATTTATTACAATTAAAATAATTCCACTTCAATAATATATTACTAAAAATTATTTTTTTTGTTTTTTAATGGCATTTTTAGTTAGACACTCAGTACTGAGATTTGTAATAAAGACCACAGTCACAATACTGACATCTTAATATTTTATTTTAGAATATGGTCCACTTATTCACAGGTGCATTGTTAACTGGAATGAGCTCAGTGTATGCGTTTTACAGTCTCCCTTAAAATTCTCAATTATAACTTTAAAATCTATTTAAAAAAAAAATATTACTTTATAATTACATATTGTCCACTAGTTACTCGAAAATAAAAAATTCGTTTCTTTTTTTTTTTAATTTTGTTTCTCTACCGTTTTCGAAAATAGACAGCCTAGTGCCAACATCAAAATTTGTGGACAAACGCTATTTCAAATTTACACAATTATACTCTTGAATAACTACTGTCAGATTTGAGAATCTTAAGTGAACCACACTGCATATTAAACTTTTAAATATGGAAAAATCTCCAAGATAGAACAAGTATACTTTCTCCTACCTAACATATTTATATTTCTTCTATATTTACATGTATATCTTAACAGTTAAAAGCTCCAAACAGAACCCGACTGAAATGTAATTGTAAGATAACATTTAAGGCCAAAATAATTAATCGGTCCAACAGCTGGTCCATATTATGGTAAAGTAATATTTAAACGATATCACTTGAAATTGTGAAACTTTTAAATTACCACTCCATTAATTCATAATATGGTGGCGGCCTTAAACATCTGCGACTGGTGGATTTGAACAAATAATTATTCTACAAAGGTACAGAGCAATATCAAAAAAATTCCAGCTTATTTAGTAAAGAACAATTTTATATCCAATCAAAAGATTTTCGTACTTTATTCCGCCGAAGTTTTCCCCCAAATCACCCCTTATGAGTGGATTTTAACCCCTGAAGCCGACTGAGCTTGTGCAGGGAAGGGACACCGCGGCGTTCCGATGAGACAGGTGAGGAAAACATCACTCATCATCATCGAAACAATAACGCACTGCTATTCGTAATCTAGATGTCATATCAACAGAAAAATAAATTACTGCTAATACGGCACCCATCAAATCCTAAAACAAGCTATACAAATTAATTAATGTCACTGAACCTCTAAAAGGTCCGTAAATGAGTACCAGTCGATCGACACGCTGCGCTTCCGAGACGATAATTATCTAACGACAAGTACCTAACCTCAAAAGATTACAAATTTAAAAAAGTCATGATACATACATTACTTGCTGTTAATTAATTGACCAGTTAACAAGTCAGGCCAAAAGTCAATGAGGATTCTACTCAAACTGAATTTTTCGAACAGTTATCAAAGTTTGTCCAATCTGCAATTAATGGATACGTCTGCGTTTTTGCTTATGCTCAAACTGGGTCTGGTAAAACCTACGCAATGCTTAGGGGGCGTCCATTAATTACGTGAGGTGTTCAAGGGGGGAGGGGATCAAGCTAAATCTTTCCAAGTCTCACTTGGGGGAGAGGGGGGTCTTTGTAAATCTGACGTAATTTTTTTTCTAGTAGAAAACGGTGTAAAATTGCATGAAAGTAAAGTTAAATTAGAGTAAAGAATGTTTCTAGAATAAAATATGGCAAAATCTTATATTATGCACGAGGCCCCATGGACTGAATTAGAATAAATCTATTAATTTTCTTTTAAGTATTTATTTATTTTTATCACTGTGATTTTAAATTACGGCAATATTCTCAAATACTAGTCTTTGCTAGTCTTAAATAAAAGTAATAGAACATACTTTTGTGTTTTTTTTTTATAATACAATGCATTTACACTCAAAACACAAATTTTGAAAAATCTCAGGTGAGATTAGGGAAGGGGAGAGCGAGTTGAGGAAAATCTTACGACATCTCACCAGGGGGGAGGGGGGTCAAAAAAATCCTCAAAAATACCTCACGTAATTAATGATCACCCCCTTAGATACTCCGTAACATATGGGTAAGTGATATAAAACTGTTGCATGGCCATCTAAAATTCACTTAAATATTTTCTAAGTTAGTAAAATATTAATTTTAAAATTTAAATACCAATTACTTGTACAAAAGAAAAACAACTTCGAGGTTCTATTTTTTGCCCTCTTATTAATCTCAAATAATTCGTCGCTGGAAAAACAGACATAACTCCATTTTAGTAATTTTACAGGAGACGCAATTAAACTTTTGGTGTATAGTGCTTTGCTTATGCATAAGTCCACATATTATTTGCCATATTATGTAAACTATAAGGAGGAGAGATACGCCCCTTAGTCACATTATAGGTATCCACTTTAACAGATTTGTGGGGGGTTTTAAGTCAAATTGGGCAATTTTCTAACTTACGTCCTTTGCCTTTCCAGCGACGAATTGTATAAAGTCAAAAAATTATGTCTTTATTGTTCAAGCAATGGCATTTATATTCGTGTTCGTGTATAACCCATAATTACAGTTATAATCGCTACAATAAATCAGGTAATTCATATTCCCTTGTAGTTAGTTATATGTGTTAGACCCTACAAGAACCCCATTTAAAAGACAAAAAACATGTTTTCAAACAATTAAGCCAAAATTTTTTGTTTTTTTTTAGTTCAAATGCACCAGGCTTTATTTTAATAATTATTCAGCCATTACCACTTCTAGAAATGAAAATAATTGTTGACAGCCAAGTTATTGTAGAAAATGCTTCCTAGGGATAGACAATTTACAATAAGCAGAATCAAAAGATCTTAAAACTATAGAAACCTTGGCATTGGCGGATTATAAGACTGGGAATCTGACCTTAGATGCATGTAACTAGAGGGTGGATACCGTCTGTACGAAATTGGATGATGTAGGGAGCCCGACATGACCTGTAGTCCTCCAATGGTATTGTGCAGTCTTGTGTTACCATCGCCCAGATCCAGCTCCATTTCTTGTTGGTCCTGGAGTTGGATCTGTCCCATAGAAGCAGTGGCCATAGCCACATCGGGCATAATATCAGACAGATGACCATCACTGCAAGAACTACTTTCTGGTTCCGGGGCGAAACGGAATTCACCATCAGGCACCACTGCAGGCAACTCCTGCCGTTGCGAGTATCCCGTTCGTGGGAAACTCAAATTTTTGCTGTAACATCCGTGCGACGCGCTCATTACTGGCTTATTCGGAGATATCTGCATTGATTCGTTATCACTTTGTTCGGGTACACAGTAACAATTTTCTAACATATCAGCTACGGGATCAGGCAGATTAAATTCACGAACTACCCTTAACCTGATTTGTCTATTTATTTCGTGGCGTGAAGATAAAGGCATGTTGAGGGCACGTTGGCAACTTGGTGATTGGCGCAGTTTTTGTTCTCTTTTTAGCATCGCATTCATCACAGTCGGATCTGGTACGGGAAGCACCGAAGCCAGAACGTCGACACCCGCTGGGCCTTGACGACGGGGCTTTTCTTCCACCATGTACAGAGTATCTGGAATGTCTTGCATGTACCGGGCTCTTCGCAGCCGCATCATTTCTACTTCCTGCACCAGCTGATCTTCAACAAGTACCTTCACCTCATCATAATAAGGAATAAATAATCTAGGTTGAATAAACAATCCGTTGTTTTTTCCCCTAATCCAAGCATTTACTCTTAGATTCTCACGCTCACCCCCTATCATATGGCTGGGAGGTGTACTTACTAACCCTCTACGGATGGCTTGGTTTAGTACATCGCTATTGGTTGGCAGTATGTGGTCCATTCTAACAAGAGGCAGAAGATCAGAGAGAATTTCTCTCAATTCTACATCACTTAAGTCTCTCTTTTTTACACCTTTTCTAGCTACCGAATGTGCGGTATGACTTACAATATTTGGCTCTGAAATCAAAACACTATCATTAATATTTTGATCATTAAATGAAAAACATTAAAACCAATATAAGAAAAAAATGACTTATTTTTCTTCTTTGTCTCTCAAAACATCAAATGAAGTCTATTTGTATCATGAAAGATTACCTCTGTCCTCCATTCGTCTAACAAGTTGATACTCTCCCCATTTGAGAACAGCCTGCAGTACTTCCAACTCGCTGGCTTGCAAAAAAGGACTTTTCAAAACTTCAATAATGTGTGTCTTATCCAGTTGATGCAACACAGGAGACTGAGCCACCGGCTGAAATTCTTCCCTTAAAAAATGTAAGGCCTACAAAAATTTTACATTAGACAAACACCAGTGTGAAGATTCAATTATTTCTACCTGTCGATGCACCCAGGCTGACCCGTGCGGTTGTCTGGCCCACTGTAGCACAGCAGGTAAAGTATCTAGCGACAACCACTCCAAAATTAAATCTTCACAGCCTTGTGACAGTATGTCTAATTCCAAAAAGCGACCTATCTGATACAATTCCATTGCTTCTTCCAAAGGAGATGGTCTAGCACGACCCGTGTGGGCCAACGCTTGAGCCTCCCCTAAGCCTCCACCACATCCACCTCGCGATATCAAAGATAGGTCCACTTGGTCTAAGTAAATTGCGTGTAGTAGAACCCTAGCGTACCTGAAATTTGGTTTAATTTTACCAAATTCTATTTGTATAAAGTAAATGAAATATTTTGTAGGTGATTTTAAGCATATAAATTATCAAGACAACAATATTCTAGTATTTTAAATGAATATTACCATGTAATTGGAAAAATATGACAAAAAGAAGTAACATTTCACATATCTCAAAAGTTGGCATATTAAGGAAGGAGTAAAGTTTTTAAACCCTTTTTTTTGCATTTTTTTAATATTTGATTTTGTGAATGGAAAACATTTCAAGAATATTGTGTGAAAATTTGAGATGAATCGGAGCAAAACTAGCGAAAATACAGCGGTTTGAGTAACAACGCCTCATACATGACTCAGCGCATCAGAAAATACCTGCCCGTCCCGAGCGCGCTATTGTTACCTGGCAGCAAGGGCGGCTCCAGGGGAGGGGGCTATGGAAGTCATGGCCCACACCGAGATGAAAATTCTTACGATTTATGACCCTCTTATAAAAAAAAATATGCTAAAAAGAGAATGGTTAAAGGCAATGGCCCCCACCGAAAATTCGTCTCGGAGCCGCCGTTGTCTGGCAGCTGTTTCGCTCACTATATGATCCCTAACCTTACCTCCTACCTTTCTTTATAGAAATTTTAACACAAGTACAAACGTGTTTATATCTGTATTGTATATAATTTAGTATAGCATTGGCCTTGTATGTTCTTTTGCTTTACTAACCTACATGCAAGACATAGGAATCAGTAGTGGATCAAGCGCTCATGAATGATGATTCTTCGTAGACAGGAGCAACAAGATGCTTTAGACATAATGAATGATAGCAACATCCTTTATGGACCTGGCATCGATGATTCAGTGTGAGATAAGCCAATAAAACTCGGTTATGAACTTTTAATTCCAAATTTTTTAGTGTTCAAAACTTCAAAACTACTGCACCTATCCTTTTAAAATGTTTGAACACTATTTCTGTACATAATTTACGAGGCAACGCTGGAGAGTTTTTTCAAATTTTTTAATATTTTTTTATTTTATAATAACAAATTAGCCTATTTTTTTTTTTTCGCAAGATTCGCGTTTTTACTTCAAAGTGTTCCCAAAAAGTAAAAAATTGAAATTTCGAAAAACCCTCTCAGCGTAACCTGGGGAAAACGATTATCGAACGAGAGAACATAGATTTTTTTTATTTCTGATGATCCAGCACCGAGTTAGGAGGGGCATCGCAATTCTACTTTTTTCCGAGACGCTTCCGAATAATTGCTACCATTTCCGTATTTTTTATTATTTCTACATGAAAATTTGACACAATATTCTTTGAATGTTATACTTTAATGTACCATTAGTTTAAATAAACAGATTTTAACTGTGTCGTCAAAAAAAAATCACAAAATTGTGCCTTTTTTGAACAAATTAACCTTACCCCCCCCTTAAATAAGCAAAGTACGAGTGGTTCAAAAAAAAAAAATATTTTTAAAAAATATATATGTATTTTTGACTATTAATGTAATTCGTCATCCTCTTTTATAATTTGTAAGAGGCACTTACCTTTTAGGAATGACTGTTTCATCTAGAACTATCCTCGTAGGAATGTGGAGTGCCCTTTCAGTGTGTTCTTCCCCACTCTTAGAGCGCCTTTGCAACAAATTTCTGAAAAACGGAGATCTAGCAGAGAGTATAGCCTTGTGACAAGGCAACTCTAACTTAGGTCTAAATCCATACTCTGAGCTCCCCGAATCAGGCCTCTGGCAGTCAGATCCATCCGACGTGAACACTAGCGCTGCATCTGCATAATCACCGGTTTCAAGCAAATACCTTAAATCAGCTTCTAACGCATTAGGAGTGCCGAACTCCTCTCTCAGTCTTCTTAGCAGGTTCATATCAATGTTAGTATTGTGAGGACAAATATCTCCAGTGTACAAGTACCTTAACAAGGCAGAAAATAGTTGAACATCGACAGTAGCAGTCCGTAGCTCTAGGCAAATGCGGGCCCCATATCCAGGGCACCCCGCCAGGAGATCTCGGAAATAGGGACATCGCGCTGAGAGAAGCGCGCGATGTATAGGAAAACAGGCACCTCTGTAAACCAAATCGGCATCAGTGCAATATTTGAAGTCATACAATGCTGAGAGATCCTGTTTGAAAGTGGCGGCAGGTGGTCTAGCCAATTCTGCCTGAACACATAAGTCTTTTAGAGCTGCTAATGCTTCGTACTCCTCCAATAACGCGGCTACTTCTAGTGGACTCCAGTCAGAAACGAGCTCCCGAAGCATTTTGCCATGATCACAAACTTTTGAAGAACGTCTTCTTCGAATGAACTTCTTTTTTAAAGTGGCAAAGCCTGTTGCTTTTTTCTTCCTTTCCCTAGAAATGCAAATGATTATCAAATAGCCACTTGTGCAATAAAAGCGCAATTGAAAACAAAATGGCAGAAAGACACTAAGTGGAGAGCAGACATTTTAGGAAAAATGTTTATTCTAAAATTAAAGTGTTTGCTGAAACCTACCTTACAATTCCTATGGTATCCCTATATACAGAAGTGCAGGAATCTCCTCCCAATCCTGATACCAGACTAGCATCAGTCCCAGGCGAGGTAGAAGCATTCACACCCATTCTGTGAGTAAACTCCTCTGACAAATACTGATCACTTCTAACATTCCACCAACTGTGCTGTAGGGCACATGGAAATAGACAACTAAATAAGTTCATAGTTCACCCAGACCACAGCCTGACATGCAGACACAGCCTATAAAAGAAATAAAGCTACACTAACATTTATTTTTTAGCAATTGAGTAGCTAAACAAAAATGTTAATAGTGCAAATTTATTTAAGAAATTAGAATGAGGAAAATAATTATTAAACAAAGTATTTCAACTAAACAACCTGCATCCATATAATTAAATAATATATTAAATGTCTTCCAAAAGAATTATTGAATTTATCACCAACATGCTTTAACACCAAATAATAATAAATGATGACAAATATAAAATATGCATATTTAAAGGATTATTCTCTATATCTACAAAAAAATGATTATAAAACAATTTTATAACAGTATTGTCATTAGAAGTGAATTCCTTTCTTATATTATTGAATTTATAACTAGGAATTATGACATTTCCAAAGTTTTTTTATAGATTGACATCCATTACAGGCATTTGTATAAAATATGGTTTAATATACTATGAATGAATAGTGCCAAACTAAAGGAAAATAAATCCATTGAAAATATTGAATGGATTTAACAGATTATTTGTATTAATAATCAAAAATATAATTTATAGATATTAGATATCAATTCAAAAAATACAAAGCAAAAAATAAAAAGTGGGAGGCTATATCTGAATCGTCCAATATCAAAGAAAAATATTTAAATAATTAAATGCCTTTGTCGGCATTTTCTCTCGACCGGTTTTGCTACTTCCGGTGCAGGAATTCCGGCCACGTAATTGGATATTTACTTTTTTCAAGGAAATTCAGAATACAGCTTTAGAGCGATTTTTCTGAAAGTAAGACGATATCGCGGGAATTTTGTGTCGTCGGAAGGGTTGATATGCAAAAAAGGATTTTACAACCTGACGAAAAGTAGCCTGTGTAAAATCGGAACTAAAAGTCGAAAAGAGGTTTCATTTCTCTCAAAATGTTCGTATGACTCTATACTAAGAGGGTATTGCACATGGAAGCATTTTTTTATTTACCACTTTCTACCCCATTCAACCTTTTATTCACACCGGATTTTCGAGAAAAAATGTCAAAATAGTCGCCGCAATTAATTGATTTACGGGAAAACAAAAAAAATATATTTTTTAATAAAAATATTTCAATCCCTGACTCCTGTCCCTCCTCCTACCCCTCCCTAATAAGAGTCTCTTTTTTTTTTCGTTTGCACGTTATTTTCCAGGCGTGTTATTTTAGCTTTAAATACATGAATTGAAAATATGTTTTACTCCATTCCCACTCAAGTAAATTGCGGCGACTTTTTTAACATTTTTTTGGTGAATAAAATAGGCTGAATGGGGTAGAACTACTAAATACTTGCTTGAGTCATAAAAACATTTTGAGATCAATGAAACCACTTTCCGACTTTTAGTTCTGATCCTACACCTATTTCAAAAAACAGGTCACTTTTTGCCAGGCTACAAATTTTTGTTGTGCATATCGGAGCATATCAACAGCATATCGGGTCACGTGGCCGGAAAACCTACAGCGGAATGAGCAAAACTGGACAATACAAAATTCTAGCAAAGGGATTTTTTATTGTTATCGGCCATAAAGAATGAAAAAATCCATCGATTAGGAACTTTACTTTGAATTTCACAGGTCACATGACCGCTCCCACCACAGGACATAGTACATGTTGTTCACCCACTTTTGCAGTCAGTTGAAGGACTATTACTTTTAAGATGAACATTAATATTTTGTATTTTTTTTTTGTACAAAAGACATAAAATAACGTATTTGCAGAATTAATTAACAATCCATTGTATAAACAGTAATCAGTAAAGTAATGTATGACTCCAGTTATAAATTCCACATTACCATAATTAATGAAAAAAGACGGGTGTGAAGTTATCCACATCCACATCCATAAATGTACACTGAGAAAAATACAGCTCCATTGTAATAGTCATAATATAACTTGGTTCAAATGACATGTAGAGGCTTTTCATTAACATATTTCAATTGGGGAGGTTTCAATACATAACAAGCATACCCGCAATTAACTTTTCCTCTGTCTGAGGGGGTGCAATTGGTGGTGAAATTAAAAAAAAATCATAGAAACCATAAATGGCTTTGTACACCTTTCTGATTGGGATATGTTATGTAGTTTGCTATTTTCTTTATCCCTGATACCATGCTGGAGTTTGTCGAGCCGTCTGAGGGGGTGCAATTAAGGGTGAAATTTAAAAAAATCATAAAAGTCACAAATGGCATTGTACACCTTTCCGCTTGGGATGACTTTGATTTTAATATACAAAAAATAAAAGAGGGCTTTGAAGAGGAAGTGCCTTGTGTCCTTCTACTTTTCAAAAGTATATAAAGCTTTTTTTTTAGATAATTTTATAGTTCTTTACTTTTTTTGATTTTCTTTTATGAAACCACCTATTTATTATTTTCATTTCTTAATTAAACATGTTTTAAGATTAACATTTAAATAGTAATTTTTAAGATCCAAATTAATAGTCACAAAACAAATTCTGTTTATACCCCTTATTTTATTATTATTTAACAATATTTATTTTTAAAATTCCAAATCATTGTGCTGTGGAAATAAAAAATATCACATCCGGAAAAATCGAAGTGATTCTGAGCTGAAATAATAGAAATAAATATGGACAATATGTTCTTATACAAGTATTCCGAAATTCAAAATTATATCTTTGAAATTATGAAAGGTATTGATTTTTTTTTAAATTTCACCTTTACATTCACCCCATCAGACGGCTCGACAAACTCCAGCATGGTATCAGGGATAAAGAAAAGAGCAAACTACATAACATATGCCAAGCAGAAAGGTGTACAAAGCCATTTGTGGCTTCTATGATTTTTTTAAATTTCACCCCCATTTGCACCCCCTCAGACGGCTCGACAAACTCCAGCATGGTATCAGAGATGAAGCAAAGAGCAAACTACATAACATATCCCAAGCAGAAAGTTGTATAAAGCCATTTGTGGCTTCTATGATTTTTTTTTAAATTTAACCCCAAAATGCACCCCCTCAAACGGCTCCACAACCTCCAGCATGGTATCAGGGATAAAGAAAAGAGCAAATTACATAACATATGCCAAGCAGAAAGGTGTACAAAGCCATTTGTGGCTTTTATGATTTTTTGTTCAATTTCACCCCCTATTGCACCCCCTCAGACGGCTCGACAAACTCCAGCATGGTATCAGGGATGAAGAAGAAGAGCAAACTACATAACATATGCCAAGCAGAAAGGTGTACAAACTGTACAAAGCCATTTGTGGCTTCTATGATTTTTTTAAATTTCACCCCCTCAGACGGCTCGACAAACTCCAGCATGGTATCAGGGATGAAGAAAAGAGCAAACTACATAACATATCCCAAGCAGAAAGGTGTACAAAGCCATTTGTGGCTTCTATGATTTTTTTTAAATTTCACCCCAATTGCACCCCCTCAGACGGAGCAAAAGTTAATTGCGGGTATGGTTGTTATGTATTGAAACCTCCTCAATTGAAATCTGCAAATGAAAAGCGTCTACATGTCATTTGAACCAAGTTATATGATTTATTACAATGGAGCTGTATTTTTCTCAGTGTACATTTGTGGATATGGATAACTTCACACCCGTTGAAAAAAGTCATATCATAGGCATACAAAATACTTTCAGTTGATTGATGGAAAAATTAAATTAATTGGGAAAATAAAAATAGTAAACAAAAAAGGTATTCCAGTTTATTATTTGAAAAACTTTTAGGTAATCATATGTTTAGAATATGAATGTGAACAAAAAAACAACAACAATACATTTTGATTTTCACATGTAATTATAACTTTATTTGGAATGCTGACTTGTGATTAAAAACTTTAAACCATAAAATTTTATGCAGTACATAAAACTTTTCTTTATGTAAACATGTATCTGTTTTATAGCCAAAGTATTTTCAGTACCCCAGTGGAAATATAAATTGTTTTACAAATGTTTAGTTACTAAAAAATGTAGGTGCTATAAACAAAGATGAATAGAACTGCTTTGTCCTCAACATAATCATGAGAAGAAGCACCCCACATGTTGTCAGATTTCTTCTCTCAAAAATATTGTATAAATGTTGCTTTAAACTTTTTCTCATTAAAAAAGAGGAATTGAGTTTTCTATTCATTAGAATCATTTAAGCTTTTTATTTAGTAATTTTGAATTTAAAGGCTCCAGTGCAAAAAGTTCCTAAGTCACATTTTGCAGTTTTCGAGAAAAACGCCTTTGAAGTTTTCTTTTTGGAAATTTTACCTTTGCGAATATTTACTTGATTTTTTAACACATATTTTATTAATATTAGAACGAGTGGGGCTGTAAATAAAATTAAAATTAGTGGTAGCGTACCTTTAAAAAAGGAAAATAATTTCAACTCAATTGTGACCAAGACAAAGATAAAATAAATAAAACACAGTCATATGTCACACAAAATACGAGCGACCGTTTCTCTTCGGAAAACAACTACTCCTTTGGCTAATACCGCAACAAGTATTGAATTATTTCCATTGTGTAATTTTTGAGGTATATGATCTAACAAAAATGCTTTTTGGAAGCCTTTTGAAAGTAATGGAGATTATGTAGTCCCAGAAAGTATGTAAAAAATTAGGCAAACCGCACGACGGTCTCTTAAAGTTATTCAGCAAAATATTTGTTTTAGATGGGCATTAGTATCATGACAGTTTACAAATAAATTAAATTTAATGTACTCATTAAAAAATGGATTAAGTAATTCAATTTGAATTACAATTTAAAACAAGATAATCTTGTAGAAAGAAGGTGGTGAAACAAACACATTTAGCATGCGAATCTAAATATATTTTTGGCTTTCAAGCCATCAAGCACAAAGAGGAAAAAAAAAACATATTTAGCATCAATCAAATAAATAAAAAAAAATTAAATAGCAAGTCATTTAAATCAAGTCCTTTAAATCTAGTTTTTAGGTCTATAAAGTCAAAACAGCAAAAATAAATATTTAACATGAGATTCCAAATACAATTTTGAGCATGAATGATTCAATAGATTAGTGTCAATCCAAAATTATAAATAGCAAGACCTCTAAATATAGCATTAAGGTCTCTAAAGTCACATGGTTCTGCAGATAAATATTACTCTATCAAAATAACAATATTAAGCACTTTCAAATAGAATTTTTAATACTGATGATTCAGTATATTATTATCAATCAAAATAATAAATCATTACATAACAAGAACTCTAAATATATTTTTTAGGTCTTTTAAATTGTGCAGTTCCTGAATAAACATTACTCCATCAAAATAGCAAAAATCCATATTTAGCAAGAGATTCCAAATACAATTTTTAGTACTGATTCAATAAATTGGTATTTATTTTTTTTACAGAATTGATCGCTGAAGCATTATACAATAATTTTATGTATTTTATTAAGTTAAAAATACTACCAATTTGAATGAATATACAAGCATATAAATTCTCAAAAAAAAAGTTTATTTTACCAAATCAATTGTAAATACCTAGATACATGTTTATTTAATTCTTTGCTATTCGTGCATTGTACAATAATACTAAAATTGGTCAAACAAGTTAATACTATGGAAAGAACAAAGAACAAAAATATAGACAAATAGACACTATATAACATATCAAATTATAAATTATTGTTTTAGTTTATTTTTAAAGAATAGAAAGTTATAGTATTTCATATAGCATAAGAGTTTGCAGCCAATGTACTCAAAATCCTTTTAGTATAAAGCAGTGGTGTGTAAAGGACACAATAAGAATGTCTATTCTAATTTAATAGGCATGCTTAGGTCTATTTTCAAAATATGTTAATTATAAAAAATGTATTTAAATTAAAATGTTTAAACCATAAACACCAACCACACTTATTCATTTTTATATAGGGGATGTTAATAAAAATAAGTACTATTAAGACAGAACGTTGATAACCTATTGAAATTGAATTCAAAAAAATTATGTTGTTGACAACTCTAACAAAGATACTTCTGTACAAAAAATGGGAATTACATTAAATAAGTTAATAAATAAAATTAGGAATTTTGGAGTTATTAAGAAGTTTTTAGGTGTATTTGTTCATATATTCCAACATAGTATATTAAGTAAAAATAAATAATAGTAATAAACACAACTACACCCTATATAGTCCAAATTATTGATATGACCTAATTAGATTAAAACAGGGATTATCTTTATATTTATAAAAAACAAAGTGTCCAAATGAACATTGAATTCTATTTACAATGCAAACATTATTATTTTCAGCGATATTTACTGGAAAATCTTGGTAAGATTTTACATTCTGGTAATTTAATGTAAACAGTTAACATATTTATTGAAACAGGAATAGGTGGGGTAAAAAAACATAAATAAAAACATGATGTACACTATTTATACCTGGGCGTCGAATAATCATACTGGAATGAAATAATCGCTGTTTAATAAACAAACTTCATTACTTCTTGAGATTACGAGTAGCAGCAGCCATGTTTATATTGCTGACAAGAAAAAAACAAATATCAGTATCTGTAACACGATAATCACAACACTCCCACAATATTTAGAATTTATGAATGAACTACATTTTGTTGAATAAGAGTATTCCTTTAAAGTCTTTGAATCTTCTTAATCAATTATATTAAGGAATATTGAAAAAGGGAAATACGGAAATCATTGGATAGTCGATTTATTTACTGTCAACTGTCAAAGTTACAAATGTCAAAAAGAATAATCAAAATAAGGCCCACTTCAGTAGACATTCCCACCAATTAAATTCATTATTTGAGAATTGAATATATTCATTTGATTGGTCGAAATATAGTTCATTGTGACCAACATCTAAAAAGTTATAAACCAAATAAGTTGCCTTAAAATCAATTTAGCCAACTATAAAAAATAAGACACCTCAAAAATTTGAATAGTCCTAAATAATTTTAATATTTTTTACTCAAAAAAGAGGAATTAAAAGGAATCCAACGTGTCTTTAATTGGAAACATATTTGATTTTAATTGACAAATTTATTTTCTGTTCATGTAGGCATATTTTAAAATAAATAAACTCGCACAGTCTAAAGGTCAGATTCCATTGGTCCTGTCTATTATAATCTATTTGTGAACAAACTTGCGGGCTACGGACGGGGTCGAAGGGTTCATTTGATGAAGAGAGGATTGAAATGATTTCTATAGTGCGCCGATCATCCAAATATTGAACTTTTAAATGTGTAGATAAGAGAAAAAGTGTTAAGGCATATCTGTTGTTAAAATCTCTAGTATAAATTCAATAAAATGGCTGCACCTACAAGAATATTAAGCCGTGTGTTGGGTAAGCAATTATATAATAGTGGCCAAATATTGGCTAACTTCGTAGATATTCTATACATCGAATGTATTCATTGTTTTCCACTTTCAGCTGATGGAATTAAGGTCGGTCAAACGATCAGATTCAATAGTTACGAGAATACTAGAAAAAATTTAAAATTAACTGCACAGTCAAAAGTTATATGCCAAGGATTCACTGGAAAACAGGGAACTTTTCACAGTAAACAGGCGATTGAATATGGTACACGAATGGTTGGTGGTGTTTCCCCTGGAAAAGGAGGAAAGACTCATCTAGATCTACCCGTATTTAATTCTGTGAAAGAGGTAAAGTTAGCTGAAAATTCGCTACTTTTAAGTCAAGCCTGTTTTGCATTAATATTTTTTTGCCTAAATTCTTGATCACTGTCAGTTTCTAAAACAATAAGGATTATTAGTACATTAAAATGGGATTGATCAGATATACATTCATGAGGTAAATGGAACTTTAATAACCACAATTTATTTAGTGTGACTATAAAGGCACAGGGGGGCTGTCTCAATAACCACTTTATTTGGATCTTAAATCTTAAAGTCAAGTAATGTCTCAAGTCATATGTTAAATATGTGTGACAAATTATCTGACTAGGGTTTAACCATGCAACATGTGATAGGAATGATGACAGTGAATGAGTATGCATTAGGGCTCCCAATCGATGACACAATATGCCCAAAGGTTTACAGTGCCACATTCTTAAATCCTGGAATCATAGAAATGGACCTAGGTGTTAAAAAAGGTTGATTTTTATTTGTACTACATTCTGCCCAGAAATGGATTGCATTCAATAGTTTTCACATTGCTTTTCATTGACTCAAGTGTGAAATCATGGAAAACAGTCTACTTTTAGCCAGTAGCATTTTACATCCATTCCATAAGGTTTGAATTTTTAATTTTATTTTTTAATATACTTAATTGGTTACCTACAATAAAAAGCCCAAAGGTTTACAGTGCCACATTCTTAAATCCTGGAATCATAGAAATGTACCTAGGTGTTAAAAAAGGTTGATTTTTATTTGTACTACATTCTGTCCAGAAATGGATTTCATTCAATAGTTTTCACATTGCTTTTCATTGACTCAAGTGTGAAAACAGTCTACTTTTAGCCAGTAGCATTTTACATCCATTCCATAAGGTTTGAATTTTTAATTTCATTTTTTAATATACTTAATTGGTTACCTACAATAAAAAAAATGATATTTATAATTACTTCAGTGATTTAAATATATAAATAATACCTGATTAACATATCTCAAGGTTAAGCAAGACAATTAAATATTGTTTTTATATCAATTCCTTTTAAATTAATTGTAATATATTCTAAATATATTTATAAACAGAATTAATATGTCTTAATAGAGACAAACAAAGAAGCAAAAGTCCTAGTTCAATGACCTGTCTGACTGATTATAATATAACTATTAGAGCATGAGAATTCTAAATAAATGATTTTCATAGGCTCGTGATGCTACTGGTGCAGATGCTACTGTCATTTATGTACCACCCCCAGGGGCTGCAGCAGCCATTACTGAAGCCATTGATGCAGAAGTTCCACTCATTGTTTGTATAACTGAGGGTATCCCTCAACATGATATGGTTAGAGTAAAGCACAAGTTGCTGCGCCAAAACAAGTCCAGACTAATTGGACCTAATTGTCCTGGTAAGTATTTATCTATTTTGTTGAATAAGTGAATAAGTACATTATACTGACAAACTTTAATAGTTATACAAAATTTCTTTAATTATAAAACAGTGCCATAAAGTGTTTTTGTCTTTAGGAATTATTGCTCCTGAACAGTGTAAAATAGGCATTATGCCTGGCCATATTCACCAAAAGGGTGTTATTGGTGTAGTCTCTAGATCAGGTACTCTGACCTATGAAGCAGTCCACCAAACTACCCAAGTTGGTTTGGGACAAACTCTTTGTGTCGGCATTGGTGGTGATCCCTTCAATGGTACTGACTTTATTGATTGTCTGGAAGTATTTTTGAATGACCCTGAAACCAAAGGTATTATACTCATTGGAGAAATTGGAGGGGTGGCTGAAGAGCAGGCTGCTGAATATCTGATGAAGCACAATTCTGTAAGTAATTATAAAATGTTATATAATTTTGAGTAGTTGTTCATAAGATACATTTCTTGCAACTGTAATTTTATTATTCTTGAAATTTCTGAGAAAAAAAAATTAGAAAATGTTACTTATGAATAGTGTTATTTTTACTTTCGACCAATTCTTTGATTCAGTTTCTTCTAAAACGATTTTTATGCCAAATAAATATGAATTTATCTGCTAACAAAATAATTGTGGGTCAAAAATGAAAGTTTACATCTTGAAAATATTTAATTGCGTATTTTGCTCCTTTTCTAGGGTACTAATGCAAAGCCAGTTGTATCATTCATTGCCGGTCTCTCTGCACCTCCTGGACGTCGTATGGGCCATGCTGGTGCTATTATTTCAGGGGGCAAGGGAGGTGCTCAAGATAAGATAAATGCTTTGGAAAAAGCAGGTGTTATAGTCACAAAGTCTCCTGCTCAAATGGGCAATGAATTGCTTAAAGAAATGCGTCGTTTAGGATTAGCCTAAGAAGTCGATTTTTAATTGTGTATTAAAAGGCCGTTTTATGCATCATCTAAGAGTTTGAATTAACTGTATAGCCTTTAAAGTTTTAACTGATTTGCCTCACCAGTTCTTTAATGTGTATATTCAAAATTCCACTTGTTATTAAAATAATCTCTATTTTTATTGTCTTTTAATTACCTACAATATAGAACTACGTTTTTCAACACCCACATGGATATTAGCTATTCTACACATAAACTACAAAACAAAAAAGTATGCCATTGCGTTCAACTGATTGAATATATTTCATATCTATTCTACCTAGTAATAACTATGCACAATTATGAAATCCACCAATCACAGTTCATATTTTGGTCACCCAGCTACTACCATTTTTTTTTTTAATTTTAAATAAGTGAATTGAAAGTACATTTTTTAGTTATTTGGATTAAAATACATTAAAATGAGATTCTTGTGTAGAATCGATAAATAAAAGCATTTCTATTTCGTCTAAATTTACAAATAAATTTTAATAAAACATGAAATCAATTTAATTAAGAGAATTAAAACGAAAATGTTTTTATTTGTGCCAGTGAAGCTGAGACTAGCACATTTAGCTAAATCAATTTTTTTCAAGTTTATTTTATAAATTAGTAAAGTTCATACATTATTTTTAAATTTAGTCATATCTCAATAACGTTAAATAATTTTTAAAATTTGTAAATTTTCGTTAGTGTGCCGTAGAAAAAAAATACTGTGTAACTAGAGTGGATTGTCCGTATCAAACTTCGTCGTGATGGCATATGGCCATCATATCCACTACCGTTGCACAAACTATTTTTTGTCTCATTTTTAAATAAAAATGGGATATCCTAAAATTAATTTTGATGCACCTTATCCCAAAGAGAATTTTAATCAATTAGAACTTATTTGTAGAACAGTCAAATAAGTACCTATTGTAGTATCATACCTACATATATTATCTAAAAGCTTCAAGTTTGTAAAAAAATTTTCTTGATAAATTCTGCATATAGTTTATTACGTTTTCACTGGCGCACTCTATATAAATAAAAATCTTAAAAAAATGGGCTAGTGATTTCAATAAATCAATTCTATTATACAAGATCATATTTTTTTGTGACCAAACAACCAAAATAAAGGGAACAAAATAGTTATACATTGTATTAGTTTGATGTAATTTGTGTGCCAAACAAAAAACCATTGTGTCCGTGATTTCGTTTTTTTTTTTTATTTTTGTTTGCAGGTTATAAAAAAGTAGTTTAAAGGTATGTAACCAAATTATTTTGAATGTAATATACTTTTAAATGAAATTAATTGAAGACCTAAAATTACTTTTAATAAAATAATATTACAAATCTATATTTAGTCTATAAACAATTTATATTTTTTTAAGGTTTTTAAGTAACTAGATTATAAAAATAGAATGGAAGATTTAAAAACAGGGAGTTTAAAGAAAAAAATATATTTTTATTATTGACTTATGTGGTTTTTGAATGGAACAATTTTTTTGTTTGTTTTGAAAGAAAATAGTGCAAAAATCTGCATAATCAAAACTTGTAATAAAAATTATTTTAAAATGTAAGGAGAAGGTAACATTAAACTTGAATAATAAGCTGATAATATAAATTAAAATGCCATCTTAAAAACCTGACTGTCTATGCAAAAACTACATAATTCATCATCTTATATGGTATTTGTAACCAATACAAAAATTTAAAAATGTTTATTTATCTAACACTTAATGTGACTTGTGTGATTTTTGCACATGTGTAGATACCCCTGACAAGACTTTTCATAATACACATAATTTTACCAAATGTTGACTTATGTGGTTTTTGAAATGACCGATTTAATTTTAAAAATGGTAGTGAATAAAAAACACATTATTTAATCAGCTAAATCTGTTTGACCATATATTTTACTACAAATACAGATATAAAAATTTAAAGGATCACAAAGTTTTCTTTCTAATTCTTTAGGAAACTTAGATCTCACATCTTTACAGGTTCTGGTAAAATCCCTAATAACATGACAGCCATTAGGGCTTAACGGTATACTCAATGTTACTAAAATAGCAAATATCCATTCACCTAGACAGTCTTCTAATTTCCAATTATTTAAACTCGAATCCAAGCATTTGGTTATAATTTCTAACATTCTTATTTTTACTGACTGAGTGTACTTCACAAATGCTGATAATTGTGGCCCTTCAGTTTTTAAAATCTTGAGAAATTGGGCTTCATTAAATGATTCAGTTCTTGGCACAAAATCCTTATCAATTTGGTTCTCAACTATCTGTTTAAAGTCTTTAAAATCCTTAATTTTTTGTACTTGCCACTGAATTGAAGGTAAATGGTTTTTATGTGTTTCTGTAATGTGTTTATGGGAAGGTACTGTGAAAGTTTGATTTTTGCTGTATTTGTTTGTATCAATATCAGCTCTAACATATTTTTTTATATTTCGTCGCTCATATATTACATGCTGAAGGTATTCCAAACCATCTTGGGGAACTGAATTGGGATTGAAATCGTGTGGAATGGTTACTTCCACGGCCTTTCTGAGAAATCCTGCAGAATCATCGGAATCAGAACTATCTGTCATAGACTCCATTAAATCATTATTTATTATTTCTATTTAGCCTTTTTTATTATTGTTATTTTTGGATTTATATATTTGTAAAAATGAAAGTGTCAATATCAACTGTCATTATTTGACATGGAACGAGACGCATGGGCGAATCGTACAGAGCACACACGGAGCATAGATCAAATAAAAGAACGGAGCACAGGGACGGAGTAGGAGGCGAGTTGGGTTCAATCGACTGAGTTCACGGACTTGTAGATAAATAAATAAAAAAGGACTGAGTGGGCCACGAGCAAGCATTAAATACATACTATAATAACAGGATATATTCGTTCTATTTAATTATTTGTATGCGAGGATTTGCAATGACGTCACAAATCGACATTTGGCAATAGCACACTTCACAAACAGATTTGAAAAACTAAAATCGTTGGACCACGAGTTGATAATGGACTTTATCAGGTTGTTTTTCATAATAGCCTGAAATATTCAAATGAAGATCGGTGGAAATACTTGTCAAGGTCGTGTTATGTTGGCTATTCTGAATCCAAATTTGACATCTGACACTGTGTCTGACACTTCACATCGCTAAAGAAAATAGCTGGAAGATAAATAGAAAATTTACAAATTGATAGTCGTTTTGTATTAATATTTTTTAAAACAAAACTAGTAAAAATGTGTGCTAAAATGGCATTTCAACACCAAGCCGGGACGGCGATGGAGTGTCTAAGCGTATGTATAATTTAATGAGTAATCACAGTAAAAATAAATATTACAAGGAGTAACTAGGAGGGGCAATACATACAAATTATGTTTTAGATTCCAATTACCCTCCAAAAAGAGGTGGATGGTGATACCCTTCGCTGTGGTTTTAAAATTGGAGGAGGAATAGATCAAGACTTTCATAAAAGCCCCCAAGGATACACAGATAATGTAACTAATACTTTTTATTTCTATATTCCTAAAAATTATCAAAATAAATATATTTGTAGGGTATTTATGTAACGGAGGTGCATGATAATAGTCCTGCGTCAAAAGCAGGACTTCGGATACATGATAAAATTCTTCAGTGCAATGGATATGATTTTACCATGGTGACCCATAAGAAAGCTGTGAGTTATATAAAGAAACATCCAGTCCTAAACCTTCTTGTTGCGAGGAAAGGTGTCACATCAACATAAGCACTTTTTTATTTTAAGTAATCAGTTACCAATAATCAAGAACAAAACTATTGTTAAGCTCTGTTGTTTCCTGTTGCTCAAATCAATCTTAATTTTTAAGTATTGAAGTGTTCATTTGGAAAACTAGCCAAATGGTATCGACAAGTAGAAGTTTCAAACATCAATGTGACTTTACAGTTACATTTTTTTAGGGAAAATGTGTTTGTTATTTCTTTAATAAATCAATGTTTGAAAATATTTAGATGCATGCCATAACTGAAAGTATTCAATGTTAGTAACTTAAATGGATGTAGGACTAATTTTAATTAAGTTTATTTGGAAAATATATGAATAAATAATTGCTCTTTTGTATTTTATACATACTAACTACCTATTACAATTATTGTAATGTTTAATTTTATAGAGATCCTGATTTTTAAGATATTTTTTATAGATGTAATACAATTTCTCTTTTGAGTGGTAACAATTATTATTACCAGCAAAAAAAAAGAGTTAAAAATGTATAAAAGAGATCAGTCCATATACCCAGGAATACATATTGGTGTTATTAGGATATGTTCATGTTTAAAAAAAATGTCTTCAGTTAAATATAAATATGGTATTAGCTGTATAAAATACTGTAATCCTTTCTCAAAAAAAATATCCATAAACTGTTATTTTTAAAAGAAAGCTTATTGTATTATTTACATTAGGCTAAAACTAATACAAATTTGCTTAAATTGATTTTTTTACAGAAGGGGTTACGTTTTAGGGAGTCTTTAAAACTATACCTTTTTATTTTTTGTAATAAACGAATTAAGTACATATAAAAATGTATTGTTTAATACTTGCATTTTATACCATACAGCATTTAAATTTTTATATATTTTTTTATTTGGTGTAGATAATTATGTTAAAAATTATATCTTTATGTTATTTTTATTGTTTTATTTTCTCCCTGGTTCCAAAAAATCTGACCCAAATAAAAACGTAGGTGTTTCTATAATATTTATTGTAAATTTTAAAATACTTAAGTTTCTTAATTAATTAACTTCAAAATATGTTTTTAGTTAAGGAAGTTAAATAATATAATAACACTACAATGTCCCTATAGGTCACCCCTGAGGGTCAGAAAAGAGGCGGTCCTGGACAACATACATTTTAAAAATAATTCTGTTATACAGGGTGTTAAAAAAAGGTGTCACAAAATAAAACGGGGGGCAGTATGGGCCAAAATATGCAGAAAAGTCTTAATAAACATATGTCCGCAAATGAATGGTTTCAGAGATAGGGAGTGTTTTGTATCATTTTTTGATTATCTTTTTTCATTCTCAAAAACTTGCTTTTCTTATCGGAGTCTACCGATGTTTTTTCATAGATACTATTTGCAGTTATTATTTTGTTGTGGGTGAATAATTTTATAAATTTTCGTTATGCCTGTTTACACTAATATTGAATTAGCTGACATGCATTTTATGTACGGTCGTGCAAATGGCAATGCATTGAAATGGAGGGAGGGCACTTTGAACATCTCATTTAACTCTATGTTGTTATTGATTGTTTATAAATATCATTGTTTTTTTATAATAATAAAAAATTGTTATAAACACAAAATGGCCCGTATCTCCGAAAGCGTTAATTTGCGGTCATATATTTATTAAGACTTTTTTCTGCTTATTTTGGGTCATACTATTCACCATTTCATTTTGTGACACTTTTTTTTAACACCCTGTATAAAAAATATACTTAACATTTATTGATTCTATAAAAATAAGTTTTCTACATACATATATAAGAAATAAAATTTTGATTAATATTTTATTTTATACGCCTAATAAAAAATAAAATCTCTAATCAAAAATTTTACAATTTACATAGTAAAATAGATCACTGAGTAGAATCTTTTAGTACTAATTTATCGTGAATAGTTTTGTAGATCGTAGTTAAATTTATTTTATAATTTTGTAACTAAACTACATACTTCATCGAATTTTGCATTCAAAAAATCTATTTCTCACCAAGGTTTTAGAACTTCATATTTTGAATGGGACTTTTCTTGGAAAACATTTCAGCTATTACAGAAAGCAGCGTTGACGAACATAATGGGTACGATTTATTATATTTTTAATGCATTATTTTCAAATATATGGCGACTAAGTTTTTTTTGTATTTAACCTGACAGGTATCTGAAAATGACTTTCCTTCGTTCATGTTTTAAACTTGTGCGGTATATCAGCACACTTGTTCGTTTTTGATGTCCACTTTCAAGAATTTTCTTTGACATGACTACAGGACGGACCTGATAATCTGACAAAGAGGAAGTATTAGAGCTTTTATATTGCAAAGAGAGACAAATTATCATTTGTTCATAAGAACGGTGTTTTGCGGTTTTGTGAATGTTCTGTGCTCTGTTCTGTCAAGAGAGGAAAAATCGTAACAAAAATTGTGTTAAAATGTCATGAGTTGAAGATACCCAAAAATAGCCGAAAATGATGCGATTTTCTCGAAATTCAATTCAGTTACTCAGTAACGTTATTAGAAATAATTCAGAAATAGTTTTTAAGTGTAACAAGAACAAGTGCTCACTGATTGAAATAAATATATCGTACAATTTCATTCAATGTGTTCCCTACTCTCAAGGTAAATATTTTAGGTTATAATTTTAAAAACCCTGAAACTTTTTGGTTTTTTAGCCGCAAAATCGAATCTGCCCCTACCTCTAGAGAATTTACTAAAAGAGAGCAATGACAAAGCTCAAGAGAAACAGGAAGAAGAGGAAAAAAGGAAACAACGAGAAAATTCATGGAGAACTATGAAACTGACTTTAGCCTTTTTCGGATTGTCTTTCACATGCTTCGGAGGCTATTTAATATTTACCTTAGGATCTCCTGAAAAGGACATCAATGGAGAACCTATCAGGGATGATCTTGTTGATAAACCTGTAGTTTTGCAGTACATTATCAGAACTTATAGGGAGTTAGATTATTACAAAAGAGTAAGACATTTTTTTTATAAAAGAACAATTATACATTTATAAATGCAATGAGTAGAAAAAACATGAAGTCATTATCACACCAAGCATCATCAGGCTTTGAAGAACAATAAAATGGATAATATTCTTAATCTCTTGTGTATTTTTTTTATTGTAGCTAATTAAAGAGCCTTCAAGGGAAAAATTGTTACCAGATCCATTGGAATATCCATATTTGCAACCTAAATACACTCTAGTCTTAGAATTAACTGATGTGCTTGTACATCCTGATTGGACTTACAGTACTGGATGGAGATTTAAAAAGCGCCCAAGTAAGTACATTGTATATATTAATTTTAAAGCAACTCAATTTTGTACATTTAGAAATTTGTTTCAGTGTTAGATTACTTCTTAGAAAGTTTACATGGATCATATGAAATAGTTATTTACACAGCAGAACAAGGCATGACTGTGTTTCCTCTCATAGATGCTATTGATCCAAAGAATATAATAGCTTACAAGTTGGTGAGAGATGCCACTCACTTTTCAGGAGGTCATCATGTTAAGAGCTTAAATAATCTTAATAGAGACCTGTCAAAAGTTATTTGCATAGACTGGAATGCCAAAAATGTAAAATTTAATCCTGAAAACTTACTAAACGTTAGAAGATGGAGTGGTAATGATGATGATTCATCATTAGTTGACTTAGCAGCTCTTTTAAAAAGTAAGGGTTTTAAAAAACATTTCATATTTTTATTAATTGGTTTTTTTTGTAGCTATTGCTGATAATGATGTAGATGATGTTAGAGAGGTTCTAAGACATTATAGTACATATGATGATCCTATTGCTGCATTCAGAGAGAAGCAGAAGCGCCTTCTTGAAGAGTTGGAGGCACAAGCACAGGCTAGAAAAGAACAAACTGCTACCAAAGCCTCAAGATGGGCACCGAGTATTTTCAATCGAAAACCATTTTAGTAACTATTGTGATTTGTAGTTGTATTTTTTTTTTTGATAATTTATGAAATTTGTTTTCTTAATTTGTACATATTTTTATATAGAAAATTTGATTGTTGAGGTCCTGATTTTTCATATTTATCATAGTTTGCTAAAAGAATGAAATTGCATTATCTTGAACATATTGACAGACTTCTAAAAATAAGAAGTGAACTGTTGCTTGTTTTATAATTAATATTGAAGTTAAACAAAAAAAAAAAACATCCTACAAATTAACGCCTAGACTGTTATAGCATTTTGTTTTTTTAATAAAACTGAAATTTTCCTAGTTGTATCATTTTTCATTTACATTAAAAATAATTCCAAAACATAATCTGGTTTTATTGTATATTTGTTGAAAGAGTCTCATTTTAAGGTAAAGGGAGTTTAGCGAACTTCCTTAACCCTTTCTTTATCAATGCCAGTATCTACATTGCCATAGTATAAAGAGAAAATAATTACTTAATGGAGCGAAAGTACTAGGAGTACCATAAAAACTAATAAACCTAATTTAGATAAGCATGGAAGCATCAAAAACAGTAGTACAAACAAAACAAACAGATAATAATACATGGAGTGAGACAAGGAGACAGGCTATTGGCAACATTATACAAAAAATGGTAAAACTAATCACATTATGTGGAAGATATAGCAGTAGTAACACGAAACAGAGCCTAGAGAAGGCTGTAAACAACATAAAGCAGCAAATACATGACAATAAGACGGAAAGTTGACCAAAAAGAAATAAAAATAGGAAGACAAATTGGAGACACTAACAAACTTTAAGTTAATTGGGAACAATGATAAACAATAAAAGCGACAAGAATATACAAATAAAACAGAATACAAGGGACCACAAAGCACACTATAAATATAAGAACATAATAAAAAATAAGAAGATAAGTACAAAGACAAAACTGAGAGTATATAAAACCGCCGTAAGACCAGTAGTAATATACCCAGGAGAGACAATATGTCTTACTAATAAAAATGAAGAGAGACTGAAAGTGTTCAAAAGAAAAATAATAGGTCCAAAGAAAATAGACAATGCGTACAAAAGGCTTATAAACATGGAAATAATATATAAACAGAATATATACAAAGAAAAGGTAATGAATTAATAATTAACAGATAATAAAATGGCAGCCACAAAATAAACGTTTTGCCTATTTTATTTTACAATTTGATGAATGTATTTTTAAATGTTAAATCATAAAAGTGTTTTCTTTTATGAAAAAACGGAGGTTGTAAGAGGCATAGAGGGACTTAAGAGATGATCAGGACCGGACTAATTGCAAATGGCTTGCATGACAATATTTTACAAATACTTGGGGCAAAGGGATATACAATCCGCAAACCTTTTAAATCTCAATATTTAAAAATGAACTAGCAACATTAGAATATAATTTTATTAATATACTAATGTAACATAGTTTTTAAATAATTTCTTTATTATCTGATAAAAAATTAAATGTCGGTATTGTATTAAGGTAAATTTATTTAATATATTCTGACTATATTCACTGATTAAAAGGTGATCCATAAATAATTTCACATTTGTCTATCGCACGAAATAGACACGTGGTAGGGACGTGCGGCGGATCGCGCGACAGCTCGGTTCGAGTATATGCGGCTGTCACCTGTCACTCAAATAATAGTATCATAAGCTGATTTCACACTTGACTGCAAATATACCGTTGCTTCACCTTCTGATAGTGACAGTTATTCACGCTTCAAATCATGTTTATCCGTTTTAACTACAATTTCACCAAAAATCCAAGTTATCCAATAATCTTTGGTTATGTCTTAGCTTTTCGTCAAATTTTCGACTTTAATGCGCAAACTCTAGTACAATTCCCATTGGAAAATACAATTTCCAATGCTCGTATGCAGGGAAATATTTTCCCATACTTCTCATTGGAAAATATTCCACCGCTTATGTCGAGAATACGAAAACTGAATTCCCATGGGAATAAAAGTCGAGAATCGACCCCCTGAAGGCGACTGAGCTTGTGTGGGGAAGGGATGACGGTTATTACTATTATTTGCAGTGGCGCTCCGGGGCGACTTAAAGATGAAATAATTTGCATAAGTATATAAACATTTATTTAGAACAGATACATATATATTTTTAAACATTTAACACAGTTAGTTTAATGTGAACAGAATATATATTTTTTTTATAATTTTTTGACTGCGGGCACCGAGTCATTTCGCCAACCCACAGTGAACAGAGTAAAAAAGGACTAATTCATTTATAACATAAGTATTTGAAGAAGCCCCCCTTGCCTTCGTGTGGCTGCAGGACCTAACTATTATGATACTCTTTATTTTAAATAAATATAATTTTTAAACTCTGACTCGTCCAATTTCTACTCTATATGACTTGTAGACAGTTATAAAACACTGAAATTGATGTTTAAAACACATTCAGGATAAAACTCTAAACCAACAAAAACAAACATTTAACACGAGATTCCAAAAGACCTAAAAAAGTATATACAGTTTAACAATACCCGTATCCCAAGTACATGCCTAAATTGATGTTACCAGATGGATAAAAGTAAGATTAATAACTTCAGCAGTGGCCCCAAAATTATACCACTAACATCTTTGTTTGACAGAATTGACAAATTAAAGTTGTTATGGAGAGTCATTAAAAAAAGCAATTTTCATTAAATTTCTTGTTCTGCCAGATCACGTGGGATACGGGTATTGTTGAAGACTCTGTATGTGACAGCCACACTTAATTAATTAGTGAACCTACTTATATTCTCACTAAAAATATAGTACATAATAGCCCACACAAGATTTTTTTGTCAGGCGTAGGAAAAATAGTTCCCAAAAAATGTAAATGTCACCACGTTCTGGTATATATCCATCTATATTTTGACTCTCGTTCAATCTCATGAGGTTGATAGACTATATCTTTATACAGACAATGATAATAGTTATTAAAATAGTTTCATAATTTAAAATTAAGAATTCACATTTTTTCACAATATAAAACATTTACTGATTTAATCAAAAAAATCCGATTCTTTAAACAAAACAATGATTATAGAAAAATAAAAAATCACAATATTTTTGATGCAGTTTTATCATCTTTAAAATGTGGAACCAAAAATTGCTTATAAAACCGGAATTTTACACCAAATGTATTCTTAAAGGTTTTGGCATGACTATTAAATTTAAGTACAAAAAAACTTCTTTTTGAATTTGACTCAAGACGACTGTAAACTGTTTAATTTTGAATCAATAAATAATATATTTAAATATAAATTACTGGACTAGAGACAACACACATCGCTATTTTTAGTTAAACATCAATTTACAATTTTACCAAATCTATTATTTTAAACATTCTTTGATAGGTGGAACAAATCTAAGGGAAACATTCACTTGGGAATTTAAGTAATTTTATTCTTGGATGTATCCAATTCAGTCAATCAATATCAGTTTTAAAGTCCAAAAGTAAGTTTTAATAAAAGGGTCTAGGAACATTAACAGATTTAACTCCAATCAGAGATAATGATCACTCATTCATTCTAAAGAATTCAATATAGGTATAGGGCAGTTTTAAATATGATCAGTTTTCATTTAAAATATCTGTTTCATGTTTAGTTCTAAAAAAACATAGTTTTGGACATGTAATAGAAACTGAACATTTCAACTTACAAATCATCATCATCATCACTATCATAGTCATTAAGGTCAGCAAGAACCTTGTAGAAGCTAGGGATGACTTCAAAATTTAAATACCTGTTATCAAATGAAGATTGGTAAGATTTGGTTACCAATTGCTTCCCCAAACCGTAACTATTCCTAAATTTTATCAACATTTCCTCATTATCCTTAAGAGCTTTTTCTGCTTCAAAACCAATGTGTAAATATTTAGCTTTAATATTAAAATCTGGAATTTCTATCTTAAATAGGTAAATAAATTGATAGTAGCAGTTTCTTAGGTTGATCCATACCTCTGAATCTAAATGCCCAAATTGGTGACATGCTAACAATAAAGGACGTTCTAAATCTTGGACGTCAATATAAAATTCTTTTCTTTCTAATTTAAACATTTCTTCATGGAGATTTTTGCAAAATGGAAGAGTTTCCGAAATTTCTTTATAAACTTCTCTTGCGGCACGAATTCCTAGATTTGTTCCAACCCACTCGAGGTATTCTGGTTTGATTACATTAGATATTTCTTCAGGTTGCTTAATAGCTTCTTCATAAATTTCTTTTATTGTATTAATTGAAGAATAATTTAAATGATAGTTTATGATCATTCTCCAAAGAGGAGCAGATTCTTCTTTCAATATCAAGATACCTTTTTTAAACTGTTCCTTTATTTGTGACACGTCTTTTTTTAATAAGATTTCAAGTTTGAGTTTCCAAAGTTCTATCGAGGTTGGTAAAACTGCTAAGCCTATTTCTACGATTTTTAATTTATCGTCTAATTCTTCTTCTAGATCAGCACACATAGAATAATGGTCTTCGTCAAGTACCAAAGAAGAATCTTCTGTAGCTTCGTGAAATTTTTGGAATAAAATATTTTGTATAAATGAAAATAATAATTCATTATCATTTTTGTAAAAATAGTATAAATCTATTAAACAATCTAAAAATAATTTCCATAATTCGCTTTTCTTTGACGGACATATATGGACAATACCTTGTTCATATTTCTCTATACATCTGGTTAAACAAAACGTTGTACTTTTTAAACTGTCATCGTCACAAGGAATTGGATAATGTTTGCCATTTTTTTCTCTTTCTCCCAAGAATTGCCAGACTTCTTCTTCATTGACAAAATCAGTCATCATCTTCTCTATTATTCTATATTGCAAAAGAATTGTATAAGGGTAGACTTCCAACGTTTCTAATACTCTCACCAAACCTCTATAATCGTAAACATTTTCAAAGAATTCGTCCAAATAGAGGTTGATTTTCTTGCAATAGATTTCGTGTCTTTTTTGAAGTTCTTCACGAGAACAAACCCTATTAGTACTTAATAATTCCAATTTTATAACTTCGTTATGCAATATGGAATAAGTAGGATTTAGAACTAAGGCTCGGTTAATTAGACTTATTGCCTCTCTAATGCTCTTCTTTCTTACCCAACTTGCCGATTCTAGCCAAACTGTAGAAACTTCTGGAAAACTTGTAACAATATATTCCACATGTTCCATGTCAGGTTCAAAATTTGAACTTTTACAAAATCTAATGTATGTCAGACATAATTTATAATCTGTAAATCTTCGTACAGCGTTTTCAAATAGATTTTTAATTTTCTTAAAGAGTCTTAATTCGATATTGTTTCTTCCCTCTAGAATTTTTAATTTTTTTCTTCTGATTTGCACGTCCCTCACGAGATCTTTTTCGAATCGTATGAACTTTGTATAATCCATTAGTTCTTGCATTGGTCCACGCAATTTTATTTCGTATTGTTTGCGTTTTTGTAAAATATTTCTGATTTCGTAAATTTTGTATAATTTCAGCCTTTTCATTTCAGTTATTTCATCTGACCATTCTTCAATGGGAAATTTCGCAATTGCACCCAAACAACCCATTTTGATATTTTAAAAACGGGCTATGGTTTAACAGTGCTGATTCTTCACAGTGCAGGGTATGTTTGCAACAAATATGAGTGGGGTGGTTTGAGTAATGCATCAACATGTAGTTTATTGATTTTGCGTAACTAGAGACACCTATCAGCAGAATGGATCGACAAGGGGTGTTTTGTGTTTGTGGAAATGGATCGATATAGTTAGGGAACGAAGCCTATTGATTTTGAAAAATGTGAATAAAAATGGGGGGTTAAAATATTTAAAAAAAAAAACTAATATTTTTGTTTATCAAAATCAAGGAAACCCTTTAATTTTGAAAAAATCTGATTAAAAACGTGGGAGTTAAATGGGGTTGAAATAAAAAAAAAACAACGAAAAGCAATATATAGTAAAAATTATGCTGTATAAGAAGAAAAAGCCTTTGATTCTGAACAAATCTAAATTCAAATGGGGGTTGAAATATTAAAAAAAAATCCTAACCCAAAAACTTGAAATTTTTAGCAAAAATCAAGCTCTATAAGGGGAAAAAGCCCTTTGATTTTAAAAAAATTTGAATAAAAATTAGGCCAACAACTCAGCAATAAAAACGATATCAAATTAAAATCTTCAGGAAAATCAAGCTTTATAAGGGGATGAAGCCTATTGATTCTGAAAAAAAAAATCCGATTGAAAATGGGGGTTAAGGGGAGATCTATTAAACTGTAAAGAGTATATTATACAATACCAGTTAATAAAAATGAAGTAATACTACTTATATTATTTAAAAAAAAAATTATTCATTCACCATTAGTACATATAATTAATACCTGCTTCTAAAGTGGAAAAATTCCAAGAGAATGGAAAGAATCTATAATCACTCCGATTTACAAATCAAATGATCCAAGAAAACTAAAAATTATAGACCCATATCCGTGATTAATAATTTTGCAAAAATTTTTGAACAGGCATTAAAAAAACGACTTATGAACTTCTTTTATAAACACAACATTATAACAGATAGACAATATGGTTTTGTACAAAATTCAAACACTGAAAATGCAGTAATAGATTTTCTAGAAAAAACAGTAAAGGCATTGGACGAATCATTTAAATGCATAACAGTTTTCCTTGACCTCGCCAAAGCTTTTGATACGGTCTCTCATAAAAGTTTACTAATCAAACTAAGTAAATATGGTGTTCGACGTACTGCCTTTAATTTACTATCCAATTATTTAACAAATAGAATCGGTGTTCCTCAAGGAAAAGTCCTAGGTCCAATATTTTTCTTATTGTACATAAATATCACTCAATTAAATAACTTCATTCGACATTTAATTTGTTATGCCGATGATACAGTCTTACTAGTAACTGGTACTGATTGGAATGAAATAAAAACTTCTACCGAGTCTGACTTGCACAAGTTGCGACTATGGTTAAATTACAATAAACTAACGCTTAACGTAGATAAAACAAAATATGTTACTTTTACTGCTTTAGTCACAAATCAGCCACAAGAGATTACTATAAAACTACATGAACTAGATTGCAAAAATAATAACTGTAGTTGTACAAATATTGAAAAAGTTTCTACTATGAAGTATCTAGGGGTGATTATAAATCAACATCTTCGTTGGTCAGATCATATAATACATATTAGTAAGCGTTTTGAAATCCAATACATCAATTTTATAATCTAAGAGACATTTTATCTAGAAAAAAATTGATAATTCTTTATAATTCTCTAGCCGAATCGATTCTAAGATATTGTATTACTGTATGGGGAGGTACCTTTAATACCGCCCTACAAACAATTCAAAATACACTGTTAAAAATTATATTTAAAAAGAATCAATTGTTTTCCACCGATAACTTGTACAATGAAACAAAAATTATGATAAGATTACTTTTTACTCTTCAGTGTTTAATAAGAATACATAACTCTACTGAAATATATCAATTTCAAAATACACGTAAAACACGAGCCGCTACTAATATGGAACTCTGTGTCCCTCTCTTTAAAAAAGCAGTAACTCAACCATCCTATTTTTATTTCGATCCGAAATTTTTTAATGTACTTCCACCACACCTAAAAAGGATTATGGACAAAAAACGGTTTATGCGGGAAACAAAGAAGTATATAATAAATTCCTCAAATACTTTTTATTTCTTACTCTCATTCTATACGTATAGTCATGTGCAAATCGTTTTATACGCATAAACATAACTTACTACAGACTGTCCTTGTTTGTTTATTTAACAAAATTTACTTCTTTTTTGCTGATCTCGTCTCCACATTGTCTACTTTGTATATAATTATTATTTAATTTTTATCATATTTCTTGCTAGAAAATATGTATCTTTCATACATGTATAAACTAGATAGGATTTTTGCCAATATTAATGTTAAATAAATTAATACATAATTTGAGAAGGGGTCCGGAAATAAACAAAAACACAACACAGGACACTTCACCTAGGTTTTTAGTTTGTTTTCGTACTCCTCACCTAACAGTTTGTACTATTATATAAGAAAAATGTAGACTAATTACTGTATTACTAAATAAATTGAAATTATATATCTTCGTTCTAGTTGTTCTCCTACTCTTTCTTCGTCTAGAGGAATCCCAATTTTTAACTGCAGCAGTAGCAATAACTAACATTTCTACATCTACCTTTCAATTACTTTTCAGCTGTTGGGAATAACATCGACTACTTTATTTGGAAAGGTTGGATGACACCTGTTTCACAGTTTGAGCGGATATTTTTGAAATTAAAATATCATAATGTCAAAAACACCACTTTTCGGGAGCCAGGTTAATTTTACTCGCATGAATCCAACGACGAACTACTAGACTAATCCTTCCATTCATTAATAAGCACTTGTTTACTTGAAAGCAATCACTTCGTAATTTATGTTAGACAGGCTCTGTTGAATTAGAAAGAGCGAGACGCCCACTAAATTGGGAAAGGATAGTATTTGTGAGCACGCATATTAACAATGAATCACTACTTACGAATACTACATTTGTTTTACACTGTTGTCATACTACGAAATGGTGTACTTTCCTGGATATAATCTTCAACTACAATAGTTGAAATCAGAAAGAGACATCAAACTGATAATTGGCACTAAGAAAGCAAATTTACTTCCTTAACTAAAGAAATAATGAATTCTCAAAAAAATACCCAGATAAATTTACTTTCTACTGATTTTTTTTTGTATTAACAGTAACTACATAAGTATATAATAAGTATATTATTCAATTAATTTTATTTGCTTAAAATAGCAATTACATTGTTTAATAAGAAGTATCTACAAAAATTTCGACCAATTCCTTCTTTTCCTAGAAGCATCTGGTAGGTGTTTTGATGTACTGTTATGTCTGAGGCACATATAATTTATAATAAGACAGATTTTAACATATCAGGTTACAAACTATGTTGAAATAATAGCACACTAAATAAATTCGACGGTTGTAGTGCATACATTACAGAAGACTCCTATTATGATCATCAAATAGTTATGAATAATAATGTGAAAATGGTCAAAGCTTTTATATCCAAGGATTCTATTCATATAGACATTTTTGCCACCTACAGAGATCTCATGCCATAGACAAGGATGTAGGTCCTAAGGTATATAATAGTTTACCACAGGAATTTAAAAATAAGTCATATATCATAAAAAGGATAAACCAATGAATAGTTGAAACAAATTTTTCGATTAGTTATCTTTTATATTCTATTCCTAAAATTTATTCATTTTCAGTATTTGCTTCTCTAACTATTAATATTAGATCATTTGCGGGTAATTTTAAGTAAATGTGATTTATATCTAATTAACCTATTTCTAAGAATGTATATAAGTGTCATTAAGCGCACACACAGCATATTAACTTGCCATTGTGCGCTGAATAGCTATTTATTTTCCTCTCCTTTCAATAATGCAACCAGGAGACAAGGTTTAATTAATTCCTAGCAATGAGAAAAAATTAATATTCAAAATTAGACCATTAAAAGTTTTGTCTTCTAATTTATAAGTTCTTGATTACTTTGAATGTTAGGCTACTGTGAACTAAGTCGCACTGTTAGGTAATTATGATACCTTGTTTATATGTATGTTATTGTGTAAACTGAATGGCTAATAAATAATAATATTCGTTAATTGCTCAACAGGACTAAAAGCTACACGACAGGCTACTTGGCCTGGAATTAATGTAATTTTGAAAGACTTGTGCGTTTTAGAGCCTTTTTGAGATTCCGAATTTATAGTCGTAAAATATTATACGTGTAATATACAAATGTTAGTAATATTGTGGTGAAAAATTGAAACATCAAAAGCTCCAGAAGTCAAATTTATTTCACATAAGAAATTAAAACAAAACACTCAGATACTCAATAATTTCAAAATTAGTAGATGAGATTGATCTGAAGTAATTTAACAAAAAAATGTATATTTTTGCAAAAGGAGATATTACGGAGTTTATTGTTGTCTAGATTTTTAAGTAATGCACTGAAAATTAAAAATAAACTGATAAATAATAGTCGTACACATCATGCTAGTTCTATAAACAGAAGTTTGTGATAAATTTATGAAATAAAAACAAATACGATTTCTTTTTTTTATATTTGTTTCAAAATAATTGCAAGAGTAGTAATAACGAGAGATTGATAATTATTTTATGCTCTATTCGGTTTATCATTACATAGAACTTACATGATGAACGACGGCAATCAAATTAAGTACATTTTAGACTAATTTATATTAAATTTTAAACGATGACCAAATAAGCTATATTTCTTAAAAAAAAGTACAAATAAAAAATCGCTCAATCGTGTTAGAAGTTCGATACTGATATGTAAACAGCCTAAACGATAAATTAACGTCAGATTTTTCATTAAGAAAATACAACTAACTAATTTGATTACAAACTACTACATAATACCTATTTTTTAAAAATGCCTCCATATATTGCTGTAACAATCCTAAAAAATATTCAAGAAAAATTTATTACTACAGAATTTTAAGTAAAGAAATTAGATATTAAAATAAGTAATATTAAACTAATACAAAATGCCTAATATAGAATACTTACACAACCGAAGGTCTATGTAAAAAAATCGTAAATTAGTGTCTTTATCACAGCAATGAATCCATTGCCAACTTCAATACATTCTAATAATATTAATTTTAATGAGTTTAATTGGTTGTTGTCCAAATTAACTTAAAAACCTGACTTATCTACAGGGCGAGTTATAATTATTGGGACTAGAATAAGCAAGCGCCAGGTTATTTTGACCAAAATATAAGGATTCTACCAAACAAGCCTCAATAAAATACTGATCTGGAAAAAGATACTGTTAAAGTTGAAATATCTTTTTCATTTTTTGTTAATAATTTTACTACATACACTGCACAGAAATTAGCGCCTCACTATTAAAAGTGACAAAAAGTTTTTCTTTAGTTGATTTTTCGATATATTTAAGTATTGGGACACCCTGTATATTAGTTTTGGATACTTACATGCCAAAAAAGGATGAGTTTTTTTATGTGTAAATGTTTTTATAAAATAAATACTAATACTTTGAAATTGCAACCAACTTTCGCGATTAGTTGCTTTCAATATTTAGTAAAGTTAACTTTATTTTTGTGGTATTTAATTTTGAAAATTATTGAAACTAATAATCCTGACTGCCAGAAAAGAAATTTGGGACATGACGAAGTGGTTAGAATCATTACATTACTTGAAGAAGGACGTAGTCAACGTTAGATTGCAAATGCTTTTGATGTTCAACAATCAACAATTTCCAGGATAGCTGTCCGGTTTAGAGAAACAGGGCAATACGACAGAAGGCCTGGTTAAGGTCGTCCAAGGGTTACCACAGCAGCGGACACCCGATTTTTAACATTAACCGCTCTTCGAACTAGACACTGTACGGCGCGAATGCTCCAAAACGAACTAGCCGTTGTCCACAACACAAGAATGTATGTGCAAACAATAAGACATCGTCTTCAGGAAGGAGGAATTAGAGCCAGGGTGGCCGACTTGTGTCCACGCCTTGCCAGGGACCAGGAAGCATCGTGTTGCACGGTTGGAGTTTGCCAGAAATCATGTGAATTGGGATATAGACGATTGGTCCAATGTTCGGTTTTCTGATGAATCTAGATTCAGCCTGTTTTCATCTGATCGACGAATTCCAGTCTACAGGCGTGGGAGGAAATTTAATAGCTGCATTCTTGAACCCTATGTTGTACCTTACATTGTACCATTCATTGGTGACAATTTTGTTTTTATGCAAGACAACGCTCACAGCTTAAATTGTTCATCACTACCTTAACGAAGTTGGTATTTCCACATTGGATTGGCCAGCTCGAAGTCCTGATTTAAATCAAATAGAACATATCTGGGACAATTTATCACAAGTACGAAATCGACCAATTGTTCCTAACACCTTAAATCAACTTCAAAATGCTCTAACCGATGAATGGGACAATTTGCCGGAACAATTGATGCAAAGCCTGATTTTAAGTATGCCACGTCGATGTCTGGCAGTACTTAGAGAACGGGGTGGTAATAAAAGGTATTAATTTTGTTTTATTTATCGATTGCACCCAAATTACTTTTTTAAATTTGTAAAAAAATCGAATAAATTTATTTGGTCCCTTCTTAAGTTTTGTTTTTTTACCATTATTGCATTACAAAAGTTTTCACCAATGAGCCTCCCCAGAATCAGTTACCAGATATCTCACCCGAAAGAATCCCTTCTTTAGAACGGCTCAATTTTACTCCTGAAATTGTCAAACGTCAACTTTTAAAATTAAAAAACAACTCCTCTCCGGGTCTAGATCAAATATCTTCTCTATTTTTAAAAAATGCTCTAATACCATATCAGTTCTTTTATCTATTATAATTTCTCTGTCTTTTAATACACACATCTGGAAAACAGCTTCTGTAACACCCATTTTCAAGAAAGGAAACAAACTAGACTCTAATAACTACCGCCCAATCAGCCTCACACCCATAATCTGTAAAGTTATGGAATCCATAATAACAGAGCACGTTTCTCACTTTCGCTTAGTGGAAGAAATCATTCCCAAACAGCAATATGGATTTGTAAAAGGGCGATCAACCATGACCAATTTGCTTTGGTGTGTAAATGAGTGGACAGTTTCATTAGACAGGAAAAAACCTATAGACATTATTTACCTGAATTTTGCGAGAGCTTTTGATCGTGTGCCGAAACGGAGATTACTACATAAGTTAGAACACCTTGGTATACGTGGTGATTTACTTAAATGGATCGAGTCATTCTTAACTGATAAAAAGTACTGTGTTTAAGTTGGAAATTCGCATTCATCTGAAAGACCAGTCTTGAGTGGGGTTCCTCAGGGATCAGTTCTGGGTCCACTCTTATTTATAATATATGCAGTGACCTTCAATTCCATATCAAGTGCAACAATATTTTTTACGCAGATGACACTAAAATATTTAGTGACCCGTCTTTGAACTTCCAACAGATTCAAGATGACCTTGAATCCATCTATAACTGGTGCTCAGATTGGATGCTACCTCTAAATACAAATAAAAGTGTAGTTCTCCATATTGGTAAAAATAATCCTCGTCATAATTATTTTCTAAACGGTCAGACGTTAAATCTTACAATCTAGGTGTTATAATTACTGAAAATTTCAGCTGGTCTGAGCACGTTCTTCAAGTGTCAAAAAAGACGAACACGAAAATGTACTTATTAAAAAAAACATTCGCAAAAGTCTTTTCAAAATTCGATCCGGCTGTATAAATTATACATTCGTCCGATCATCGAGTACTGCGGAGCTGTGTGGTGTCCGGAACTAGTGCGGGATAAAAATGTGCAGCGCCGATCAACCAGACTATTTTTCGGACGTATGAGACCTAATTACGCAGAGAGACTACATATGGCTGAAATACAAATGTTTGAAAATCGCCGTCTGCGGGGTGATATGATAATTTGTTTTCGTATTTTAAAATATAATTTTGGAAATTTAAAATGTATGTTCATCGTGGACAGTGAAAATCGACTACGTGGCCATAAATTGAAGCCGAAAAAAGAACAATTTTTTACGAAAACGAGGCAATTTTTTTTATTTAATCGAATATTCTAACTTGGAATTCTCTACCGGAGAATGTTGTAAATGCTCCATCTGTCAATGTTTTCAAGAACGAACGTGATAATTGTCTATTTTTTAATTAACATTTCATTTGTTTCATTGTTTATTCATCGGTTGTACTTGTTATTGATTTAGTTTTTAGTAATATTGTTTTATATTCAGTTAATATGGGCTTATGGGTCTTATGGCCCCTGCTCTTATCAAATTATAATAATAATAATAATAATAATAATAATAATAATACAAATAGTTCTTAATTTATAAGACAACAAACTTTAACTTTTTAGTAATTTTGATTAGAAAAGATGATATAAACATTTTTATGAAAAATTGTTATACCCGTTTAAACTTTTTCGGAATGACGTTTTTTTACTGCTTTTCATTTGAAAGCACTTTCAGAAACATGTGGTTTTTCAAGAAAAGGTATGACACAATTTCATATCATTCAGTAAAATAAATTAAATAATATGACTTGCCAAAAGTTATGCCTCTGGGCCAATTAACGTTTTATGGATATGTTGTGAAATTATTACCAAAAAAAAACAAAATATTTAATTTTTTTTTTACATTTAATCAATGCATGTTTGGTTCAATCCTCATAATTTGATACAAATAAACTGGGCTTACTCTATGTCCCAATAGTTATGACTCATCCTATATAACTGCTGCTGTAAAGACACGTACATTTTTATAATCAAACAACGTATGTGAAATGGATTTTACCAAATTTTATTATTAATTCCAATTCTATATCAACAATTAGTAATAAACGGACTGTAAAATTTACCACCAAAATGACGATCCACGTGTAGAGGACTAAATTTCATAGAATGAAGGTTAAATTTAAAAATTTCAGCATATTCAAAAATTCAAATAACTAAAATTCAAAACAATGTATTGCTATGTAGAAATTAGAGCTATTGTTCCAGTGATAAGCAAATAAGTTTATTTTATTTTGCGCCTTAGAATCTTAATTTACAAGATACATTAAATATTACGTTTTTGAATAAAGAAAAATTCTAATATTACGGATTCTGAAATTAAAAATAAAATAATTAAGCTTAATGCCACTTATTCGCCTTGTTAATGGCTTAGAATTTCTTTAAAACGAAAATAAATAATATTAGGTAGTCCTTGTTGCAAGAATTGATTTTTATTATATTTTGTCCACACAGTATTTTTTTCAGTGTAGCATTTAATAAATCAAAAAATTTGACAGTCGAAAATTTGTTTGTGTTAATGCACTATGAAAAAAAGTGCTACAAACTGCATCGCTTTTTTTTGTCAAAACTGTGCTTTTTAAATATCCCGTGAATGTCAATTTCTTGCAAACAATAGACATTTTGAGAAATGAATCATAGAATGCATTATAAAAACCAGATATCTAACAGATACATGATTTATTTGTGATATAGTTGCAAAATATCTCACGACAAAATTCAATTTAAGCAGAAAATACAAGATATCGCAAAGAATGGGACATAAAGTAACTTAACTAAAAGTACCTGTTATATATAAAGTTTTCATTTCGAAAGAAGTACACTCCAGCTATTTTTCATTATTTAATAAAAAATTGCATTACTTGCCTGAGAACTAAATATAGATTAAGAGTAAATAATTACTGCAGATATTTAATAAGCTGAAATGTTAAAACTGAAAAAAAATCTAATTCTGAAAAAGAAAAATTATATTATTAAAGAAGAAACGTCTAGCAAACTCAAATGAAATCAGTGTACAAAATAAAAAATTATCTGTTAAATTGGAGGTTTTAATAATAAATTTAAATATTACTCAAATCTCAAAATGACATTAAAGTATCACTGCAAATTGCGTCTCCATAAAAGTTAAGTGTTACCAAATTTAAAGCTGTACGAAATGTAGAGATTAGCGCCAAAACTAAACCAACTAGTCTACTGGAGTCCAACATGAGGCTCCATTACAATAAGCTGAGAAAGAGTCAATTGAACATGAACTAAGTAACTATTAAGGAGACTGGCTGCAATATTATCTAAACAAATTAACTACCTATCTAATTATTAGTAAATTTTTCATAAATTAACATGACTAGACAAATATTAGGTGTAACGTGGAGTAAGTAGGGAGCTAAACCTTTGTAGAAACCAGCCATACGTTCAAACCTCCAAGTTTTCTTAACACAGTCCCAGGTACCCCCATATGAATGGTGTTGGTCTTGCAATCTGGCCCTAATCACCTGGTATGGGTAAGTAGCAGCTGCTGCTATTAACTTACTAACTGCAGCGAAACCTATGTATTCTCCTGTTGTCTGCAATAACAGTAACCAAATAAAATGTCAACACGATATGCATTGCTTTTTCGTTTCTAGCAACCACAATTATATTTTTATATGAGACCTAAAACATAGTTAGGGTGATACAGTACATGCAATATTTTACAAGCCGAATTCTAATAAAGTGTTCTTACATAATCGATTTTAATATGCGACGTACTTTCTAAAAACAAAAAAAATTGTTTCATAATAAATAAAAAAGTTACTTATAAATGAAGTATATGAACGATTTAAGCATCATTGTTGTGAATCATAATGTAGGATATGTCCTTAACAAGGGATAAAACCGATAGTACAACAATTAGGCATTCCAACTCAAGGGCGTAGATAAAGGGGGGGGGGGGGGGGTAATGGAGGTAATTACCCCCCAAGCCATAGTCAACATAAATATTTTTTAAACGTGATATTAAACAAAAATAGAGAGTTAAAATAAATACAATAAAACAAAGAGTTTCTCAAACATTGTCATCTAAAATAATAATATTCCTGAAAATATACAAGGTCCCATTAGTTCGTAATTGTTCAATATTTCAATTTGTGTTAATGACAAGTAAACAAGTTTTAATAAAAGTTATATGTATTTGAAAAATACATGTTTTAAAAATATTTTTGGATATACAGGGTGTTGCGTTTTTGCCTGACAAATAAAAATGTATGTTTTTAAATAGAACACCCTATATTTTATTATTAGAATGGCTTGGGAATACTGTATTTAACCCTAGAATGTTTTTAAAAAATATTACAGTGTTGTCAAACAATTTTTTTTTAAATTAGAGAATGTTGCAGACCTCAAATTAAATTATCATAATTTAGGTAGGTTTACATTAATTTCAAAATTGTTTAATATACAGACTTATAAAATACTAAGCTAACGAATAGAGTTGATACAACTGGTTTATTCTATACAGAGTGTTTTGAAACATGTCTTAAATATGGCTAATTTTAAGTTCAATTTAATCAATTTTTTCAAACGCGACACACTGTATATTCTCTTGGCATAAAATTCCCTATAAATTTGCCCATGTAACAATACCATTGTATTAGTCAATATTACATATCCCATCAGTGCATAATTAATTGATAGCTGTTTTATTACTAGAAATACGAAGAAATGTTTAATATAAAAGTTGTATGACCATATTTAATACATATTCTTAAATATACAGAGTGATCCATAAACGAGGTGCTGACCAAATCTATACTATTTTAAAGCAAAACACCCTGCAGGTAGTAATACATATTTGATTATTTTTACATCGTCAACCAATTTTAATTGACTTCATTCATTTGCTATGTTATATATAGAGTGTCTCAAAACGTGAGGTTACGATTTTCTCAATTTTTTAAATGGAATACCCTGTACAAATTAATTGGTGGTATGACATATAGGGTATTCCATTTAAAAATATGAGAAAATCGTTACCCCTCATTTTGAAACACCCTATATACAACATAGCAATTAAATGAAGTTTATTAAAGTTGTTTGACGATGTGAAAACAAATATAAAAATGTATAAGTTTGGCCAGCCTCTCGTTTATGGACCACCCTGTATATTTAAGAATATTTATTAAACTTGTTCATACAACTTTTATATTAATTTGTTTTTCCTATTTCCAATAATAAAACAGCTATCGATCAATTACGCACTATTGGGACATGTTGGTATCGTTGGATAGGTAAATTTGTAAGGAATATGCGAAAATAATATACAGTGTGTTGCATTTGACAAAATTGAGTAAATTGAACCTAAAATTAGCCATATTTAAGACATGTTTCAAAACACTCTGTATAAAATAAATCAGTTCTATCACCTCAAAAATGGAATAGTCTACAAAGATCAACTAGAAGTTCCTTTTTTGTGACAAATGGCGTAAGAAATATTTATTAATCTTAAGTTTTATGAAATGTAGGGTGTTCAAAAAGTTTAGAATAAAATTGTTTCTTTAGTCCTTCATTCTACGCCAATGGGTTATGGTAATTTATCGTAATAGTGTGTTAACTAATAATAACGATTACCTATAATATACATATTTTTAAGTTAAAGTCTTTACTGTAAGGGAAGATATTTAGAAAATATATATTTATGAAATTCACTTTATCACTCTGTAGAATGAAAACTGGGACGTTTATAGGAAAATTATATTTAGCTTTTCTTTATAATTGATTAAGATCTACAAATACCCAAAATTACGGTACTTTATTGTGAAACACTCTGTATAAATATATAAAAAATTAAAAACTTCATTATAAACATAACTTTTTCTGGAAATACACACATGAACTCTAAATGTTGCATTGGTACCATATTCTAAGATAACACGCTGCGCATTCACCAATAATGTGAAAAGTGTTACCCCCCAAGAAAACAACCTAGCTACACGCTTGTTCCAACTTACTGTCAAAAAAATTCAATGTGGCCATCCGTAGGGTAAACAAAAGTTTGTTTACATTAAGTATATCGAAACAGTTTTTTACGTTACCGAAAAACTATCGGTTATTGATCCGAAAACAAAGTATATAAATTATTTGCAAATTCCCAAATAAAGTACAAAAATACCCCCTACAAAATAATGAAAAAAAAATTTTAACCCCCAAACTGAAAAAAAATTAAAGTTTATACTGCAATAATTCAATTTCAATAAAAATTCTATCCCTCCGCGGACATATTTTTTAAAATTTTTGGTCATTCTTAAACTCACCCTCAAAAACAAATCACTAATCATTACTATACACTAAATTAAAATAAGCTATCTTATAAATATTAAGGAGTATTTCACGAAAACAAAATCAACTCAATGCTATTCTGTTATTTGTGTGCCTACCGACTACCATTTTAATTGTCAAACGGTCACGTGGCTTGGAATGCCTAATATTTACATTTACAAGTGATATCTAGGTTGGTACTTACCGTCTTGTTTTTCAGAAACAAGTTTATATTCTCTACAAAAAAAGTTTACCTTATGTTTTCTTCTTTTAACAGTTTCAAATTGGGGTCAATTGTGAGCCCATAATACCAGCTACTTAAAGCCGAATGAAAAGAAAAATATATTCAGATTATTAAATCATTACAAAACATTATTTCATACTGTCACTAAAAATACTAATTTTGCAAGTAAAGTTATACACAAAAAAAAAACATGAATTACCATCTTTAGGATTAACGACGAAAAGTTACTTTTTAAGAACAAGACTTTTCAAATATTGCTTGCAATGGAACACCCTGTAGAAATAGTAAACTGGCTTTATCTTGAAAGCCGCTGTATAAATAAAAACAAAAACATTTACAACTATACTAGACTGGACGACATACACAACACCGTTTGTCAGTATCAGTTAATGATAATAAAAGAACTAATGTAGAACCAACAAGTACAATCTTAATTATTCAAATTAAAATATAAGAATTTTTGTATATGACTCACAATATGTTAAATTAATTTAATTTACATAAAAAACTAACAGTTCTTAAAAATATCAGTAAGCATCGTAAATACGTAATTAGCTAGTTTGAAGAACTGCTGATTATTTTGAAAAAAATAATAAAAAGTTTTCAGTCTAGGTAAATAGTAAAGGTATCATGTGACACCTCATTAATCTGTCTATATAATTATCTATTTAGTGATAAACAGGTATTTAATATTTCATTATTAAATACTGACAAATCTGGTTTATCGAAATAGACTATTAACCAAGAATATTGAGGAATTTATTAGTTTTTAGCCAACGCAAGGTTTCATAGATTTGAGGACACTAAACATATTTGCAGAAGAATAGTCTGAATTAGTTTCAGGATTTAATGAATATTTGCAATATTTTTTTTAGCTGAATATGGCAATATTTTATTTACATGGATAATTAGAGTAATTTTATTTTTAAATAAGATGAATTGTCATTTATGGCTTCTTATAAAAAATGAAGATATAAACGAGCTTATGAAAACAAATTTAATAAAATGTGTTATCAGGTGTAGGGTCCAAATACAATAAGATGGACACAGCTATGTCATCAGTTGGTTGAGTAATTTGTTGACTATCGCCGCCTACTGGAGGTTTAGTGGCGTGTTATTATTACAAAAATGTGGAAATAATATTTTTAAATCAAACAAGTCAAAAATTATTTATTTATTGATAGAAATAATAGTTATGACGTAGCGGTGTTCTTCTTATTGTAATCGGACTTTAGTACCTATTTCCAAACAAAATGTTTTATGGCTTCTGCTATTAGTTTCAAAATAATATTTTAAATAAAGCACTCGGTAACTAAATGTTAATTTTATCCTGCAATTGGACTACTGATCTGTTTGGATAATAAATGTATTTTTTTTAGCGAAAAGGTTATCTCTACTGTAAATGAGTTGTTTCCAATATTTTTTCCAAGATGTTTAAATGGAAAGCTTCATCAAAAAAATATGAAAGATTAGTTGGTAAATATTTTTTTGTTGATTAAATGTTTATATTGAAAAGAAATGAATGAAACATAGACACAAATTTGAATTCCACTTATTATGCTCTGTCCTCAAACCCATTAAAACATGCCTTGATTCAATATTTGTTAAAAAATTGTACATAAAGGTTTAAAGTCCACAAATTGAGTATCTGAAATTCAAAATAATCACATACAATTTGTTTATGTGAATGTTAAATTTTAAATATTAGAATATTTTTCATATATCATATTTTTAGGTAATTAATTTCAATGTTTGGTAGAATTCAAAGTAGCAGAACATGTTTTCAAATAATTAAAAGTGAATGAGAAAACAGCATTTTATCGATTTCAGTCCCCAATTTATAGATTCAGTCTTTCTACTACTCACCAATTTGTTGTCATGGGGTAATTTCCTATATTTATTGTAAAATGCCTTCATTTCTTCATAAGTCATAAACTGTAAAGCTCCATGGACGACTCCAAACATGCCAGGAACAAAACCCTACAAATAGCAGATAAGGAAAACCCGATCCCCTATCAAGAGATCCTCAACTGACCCTGTAAAGCCCCCTGAATCCTTCCGTACGATAAATTTTTGCTAAAGCGTCAGACACTCCATGGTAGAACTGACCTCCTTTTGAAAGGTACATATCCTCATTACCATATTGTAAACACAGCCTTGTTTTCACTACCCATATTGGATTTGTTACTATTAGAGTTAATATGCCTGCTTCAGATGCAGCTAACATATGTAAGCTAGGTCCTAAGGGGTACCGCGAGTCTCCTTGTTGAATCCAATTTTTTATAGAATTGTAACTGAAAATAATAATAATAATCAAGATTGTTAATGGATTAGCATCAATTTCATTTGATAATTATTATTACATTTATCAGTTGATTTATACTCAAATGTATGTTATGATACTTTACATTTTACAACAGTTTTATTTATGCATAGCTTTTAATTGTTATCTATTTTTATAAAATTTCATAAGTAAAAGGCGGAAATAATTTGGTCATTGGTATAATAAATTGTGAATTCAATAAAAAACATTTAATCTTATTATTATTCACGAGAAGTACCGATATACACCTTTATGTGCATTGAGCCACACATTCGAGAGGACTTCTTTCCTCAAAAATACATTAAATTTGAGAAAATCTTTGACCAAAAAATAGGTACCAATAAATTAAATTGGTCTTTTTATTCATCAATTATGAATAAAAAATTGAAAAAGTCAGAATAAGAGGATAAAAAATTCAATCTTTAATTTACGAAAAATAGTGATGTCCAAAAAACAATTGACCTCAAATTTTAATTCTTGAATTCCATAGTGCCACCTTCTAAAGTTTTTTGACTTTTCAATTTGGCATCTACAAGGATGTTATTGAAACCTTTATCTGATCGATATCCTTTTAAAAAGGAATTTATCCAAACTTTCTTAAGTAAATTAAGACACTGTATGGGTACTGTACCATTATATCAAATGTACTATTTATTTATGTAATATAATACTGGATAAACTTAAAAACACCTATAACATATTCTAAATACACATCCCAAATCACAATTTTTTATTATTAACAAGATGTATGTATATTAAATGTTGCAAAAATATGTTATTTTAAATGTTGAGTACTGTATTATCAAAAAGGTAGGCTTTGGGCGGTACTTATGTGGTACTGGCAGTAAAGATCTTGATCTTCTGCAACACAAGTGTTGAGAAAATTGGTTCATTCATAGTTGCCGAAAATGTATTATTATGGAATAGTTTTTTTTTTTTCAATTTATAAATTTTGTTATGAAAAACAGAAAAGTATTCTTCAAAAATATATCTATTGCAATATAGATTTTACTCAAAGGTTTCTTAGTTTTATATTAATCACAAAGATAAAGCAATCAATAAATTAATTTCATTTATAAGAAATTATAACAGTGAAACAAAAATGCAACAAAACAAAAAATGTCATTATAAAACTATTTTGACTGCAATCACATCTTTTTAAATATTATTACAAAATGATTAAAATTGTTTAGAGATAGCAGTAATATTATTTAAAGATAATATAAAAGGCATCCTTTTAACTACAATTTGCAAAATTTATCACTACATAATTGTTGTTTGCGTTCTATCGCTTCATTTGATTACTTACATTTCTGTATGTTTTTTATGACAGAAACTTAACTGTAAATGATATAATATCAACTATTTAGAACGTTTTGTTTTTTGTTATCCAGTAAACTATTGAAAAGTAATTGTCTATTTTCCAAACTGCTATTATTGCAAAAAAAAAATAATGAGGAAACATGTTACTAATTAATCCACAATTTGAAGAAATATGACCTCATATACATGTTTTTTATTTGATTGAAATGGCTTTGGTATTTATAGAGTTTTTTTATCCACTAAACTATTGAAAATTAGTTGTCTATTTTCAAAACTGCTATTTTTGCAAAAAGAATGAGAAAATTTGAGGAAATATGACCTCATATACATGTTTTGTACTTGATTGAAAAGGCTTTAGTATTTAACAAATATATTTATTTGAATATATTATTTTGTTTAATGTTTATTTGCAAAAAAGTACATTCATTTATCAATAATATAGTATGGTAATTAGACAAATATAAACAAAAGGTAGACAAGCCCATTAGAGCCACTACTGGCTGTGCATGGGCATTTATAGTTTATTAAAATAATCGATTTAATTTATTTTAACTAGAGTGTAGCACCTTATACGTATATTATAAAGTCCTATTATCTAAATAATTAAATATAGAAATTAAGATATCAATAACAAAAACAAAACAATTATTAAAATATCAATTAAAAAAAAAACAGTTTAAATATAAAGAAAATACAATTAAAATATCAATAAAATCAATTTTAACAAGAACACAATTTTGGTTTTAAGCACAATAAGTAAACTTTAAAATTTCAAATAAATTATAAAAAAGAAATGAAAAACCAATAGGTAAAACAAGAAGAAATATTAAAACATTTTTTTTTGTAAGGCAATGCTCGATACCAATACTTAACTTTATGATAAATTGTTACTCAGAAACTCTCCACAACCAACATATTTAAAAGGGAAACTAAAACCTAGAACAACCATCCAGCATTGTGCTACTATTGGACACAAGTCAAAGTGAAATATCCATTTTTTTTGTACCCCCAGAAGTCAGTCATTTTGGATTTTTATGTCATATAAATGAAAAATGGATCTAATTATTCAATATAGCTACATCAAATTATGTCAGTCTGAGTTTAATCAAAAGTTGTAGGCATATAATTGTAATTGTATATACTGATACGGAAATTTATAGGTAGGTATCTAAATTATGATGATAATAAGTCTATTGTGTCATCATTTAGCAATACTTAGCTGGCAAAGGTTTTGAAAGGACAAAATTAGTAAATTAAAATAAAATGGTTGAAAAAAAATTGTCAGTGGAACTTTGGAAGATCAAGAAAAAGAAATATGTTGGATTTTGGAAGATGCAAAGTTAGATAGAAAAAGCTTGGAAAATTTATAAGAATAGGATTGTTTTGAAATTGTACATAGTAGAAGAGTTGAATAAATTTAATAAATAAAATCAAAAAAGGGTAAGAATGTTATTTCATAGATTATTAGACCAACTAAGTATGTGCAGGAGAAATCAGAGAGGAAGACAAGAGCAGCATAGTAAGTCAGTGCATGAAAATCAGTGATCGGAGATCTTCAGAATATGAAAGGAGCAACAGCAAGAAATCTGAATATTTTTTTAATTGCTTATTTTTTTTAAGATTTGCATCAATGCAGTGTAGGGTGTTTTCATGTCAATACATTTACCTATACCATGCGCATATAGATTGTCATGAATAGTTGCCTCTATATATTTTTTTAAGAACAATAAAGCTGGTATCTTGGAGATGAAAATCAAAATGTTTAGTCTGACTAGATACCTATTGTTGCATCTTAGGCAACAGATACTTTAATAATTTAAAGTTTTTTAAAATTTGATTTGTTAAAAAATACATGCATACTTACAATAAAAAATAAAATCCCCAGGCACTTCCAGAACCCCAAACATTTGGTGCTACACCTCTATACAGTCCTTTGACACCTTCTTGCCTAATTATTGTATAAAATGCACTTGTCAAGCTACTGTACTGAGGTATTGACGTTCGTCCATCACTAACTAAAAAGCCAAAAATCTTATTTCACCAAAAAATACCAAATATATAAAAATATGACGGCATGTAATTTTTACCGCGTGTACTGATGTTTATACCTGCAAATCGAATTTTCATAAGATCTAAAGGATGTAATATTAATGTTGATATTGCGCCTCCTGATATGCCTGCTAATAGATGCTGATATTTAAAATGACTTAATACTGAGGAGCCAGTTTGTTTTGTTGTTGGATTTTTGATAGTAACCATTGTTGTTGTCGTCAACTCTTTAGAAGCATTTGATTCAAGAAGGATAATTTCAGCATCTTGTACTTTCACTGTCGACATACAAAATTATAATAATTAGAAAACTGCAAAAAAATGACAATTAGGTTATGTAATTTCAAGAAAGATTGCACCATGTGACACCAATAATTCTTTGAAATTGACTCACGTGTCGGTAAATTTGGTACTATAAACACATTTTTGGTATTTAAGGTTTTTACGCTACAAATTGCAAATTAAATTTAGCAGCTGCTGTGACTGGCTAAACGGGCAACGGGCAACACAGCTTATTTTGACACAACAAAAGAAGCGCAACTAGCGCAAGGCATTTGGCAACAATTTTCAAGGTTTTTTTTTTTTGTTAAACACTTACCTTTATGTTATTGGAGAGTTCTGGCATCACTTCACCAAGTTCACCAATCGAAATCACAAAAAATAACCACCTGACTAATAGTGACCAATAAACCACTACGACGCGATCGTGACATCACGATGACAACAATAGGCGAGTTCGGATAGTCAGGGGCTAGAGCGGGACAAAAGTGGAGTTTTTTAGGGTGCTTTTAAATGACATTTAAGCGTGTTAAACTGTCACTAATCGGACTAAACCAATGAACTGGAGTGGGGTAGAAAGCCAATGTGCATATTGTATCAATAGAACAAGATGCGACTCTTTGGGCGCAGCCATTTTTATTTCTCATCTCACTCGGGAGTATTTCTAATAACCATTTTCTGTTTCACATTGTTATTGTTCAATCCACAAGCTGGTGGATCAGACAATAACAAAGTGAAATAGAAAATGGTTATTATAAATACTTTCGAGTGAGATGAAAAATAACCTGTCTTTGCCCATAGAGTCGCATCTCAAGCCTATTGACAAGCATTCTACGCATCTCAAGCCTATTGACAAGCATTCTACCCCACTCATTGTTCTGTTCATTGGACTAAACCGAACGCTAAAAGGGTCGTTTGGAGTAAAAAGTGTTAAAGGAGTTAAAGGAACTTGGCAGACCGAACGTAATGCATGATAACAGTTAAATACTAAGCTGGTGCCGCTACAAATATCCGCTAAGCTAGCGGATCCGCGCTTTTTTTAGGTTCAGTACAAGCTACAAAAGGGAGACTGGCGTAACAAAAAAGCTACAAAAAAGTTACCAAAAACCAGCTGGGTCTGAATCTATGCCGCTACTATGGAAATTCAAGCTAGCGGATCCGCTGTTTTTTCGGACCTGGGCTAAGCTACAAATTCGCAAATAGCGTGACAAAAAACCCACCAGGTCTTGTATTGTGCTGCCATAGAGTGCCCGCTAGCTTGATATAGTCAAAAAACTTCTCAATAAAACAACCTGTGCACGCCCTACTCTCTCCCACATAAAAGTAGGAATTGTCGAACTCACCTTAACTGACAAATTATCGTTGACAGATGACAGAAGAAGTTTTGTGTGTTCCTGTGTTCTGTAATTGTTGTTGACGTATTCCAAATTTTACTTTACATCAAAATAAATAATATCAAAAACTACATACTAACTATATTAAAATGCCTCTAAATGATGATACAGAATGGAAGGAGTCATTTTTTAAAGTAAGTTATACAATTAGTAGGCTGTTCTTCATTTTAAAATATTTTTAGGACAACTTTAGTGTTGATAATAGTCTTTCAAAATACACTCAAAAATCCGATTTAGAAACTCTTAGAAGAGATTTAAAAAATTATGGAACGGATTTACAACAACAGATGACTGAAATTCTCAGAAATGAGACCGAGGCAATCGTTAATTTGGCTGAATACTTAACAAATTTAAATTCAAAAATTGAACATTTGTCCCTTCCATTTTTCCAGCTTAGAGAAGAAATAATGGTAAGTGTATGTTATTTATCTATCAGTTTCCATCAAAAATGTATTTTAGGCCTTATTTAAACTGATTAACACAACCGAGGCTAGCTATAAATTGATGTTGGACAATATTAAAGACAACAACACCACTCACAATCACCTAAACTTGAAGTTGGGAATTATTGCATGTTCTATGTATATAGATAAAATGTTAAAATCTTCAGCAGACTCATTTGAAGATCTAGTTATTCTAGAACGCATAGTAGGAAAATATTCATTCCAAAGAAATTACATGGATGAGTTGAAAATTGTGTCTACAGAATTGAAAGATATCATGGTGAATGTAGAAAATAAATTACTAGAAATTATGAACCGAAAATTTTTAGCAGCTGTTAATAAAGGTGATTCAGAAACAGTTACAAGATGTTTAAGACTCTATGACAACTTGAAAAAACAAACAGAAGCTCAAGAGACTTATAGGATTAAAGTAGTTAGACCATATTTACAGAAGTTATTTACTGAAAAAAGTCTTGAAAGACACAATCAAAATTTGGAGAAGTTATATGAGGAAGTCTTGTATTTTATGGACACCAAAATGAATGTTCTTCTTGAAGTATTAAATAAGAATGCAGATTTACAATCATATAACTTTGTACTGTATAGTCTTTGGACAGAATTTGACAAACAATCACGTGAAGGTTTACCCTTAATAACAGCACCTGGAAATCCTGAATTATTTCAAAAAAGATTTAAAAGTACTTGGAAAATTTTACTAACTATTGCTAAGACATGCAATAACGAAAATTTATTAAAAGATGATGATTCATTTCAGGAACATATAAAAAGATTCAATTTGCCAGTTTATTTCGAAATTAGGTATCAAAAAATTGCAGGAGATTTTGAAACTTCCATATTTATTGATAATAATGAATTTTATGCAGCCAAAAATGATATTTCTTGCAATTTAAAACCAACATTGGCTCTTTGGTTTGCAATATCCCAATGTTTTCATTCAGATGTGTATTTAGAACAGCTAGCAGATCAGTTTGTTAAATTATCAATGTTGCTTCTCTCAAGATATTTGAGATGGTTTGAGGCTACTCTCAAGGTAAGTATTCTTTTAAATTATTAAATATACAAGATTAATATTTTTTTGCGTTTTTATAGGTTTATAAAGATAAGGAATTTTCAGCACTGAAAATATATTGATCTGTCATACACTGAAAGATCTAAAAATTTTAAAGTGACAACCTTTTTTCCTTATAGCTTTCCCGGTTGCCTCTATTCACATAACTAAATAAAATTGATTACATGTACATCTATCATGTACTAATGGACCTGTCCAATGCCTCTCTTAGCTTCACTGATCCTATTCCCAATGTACTGTAATTATATCCAGATATAATGTCCCTGTCTCTAATTGACTTGAATGATTACCTTTTTCACTGACGTCACTGTGTGTATATCAATATTCCACACAAACCATATAATACCATCTTCTTTATCTTTATTTGGGCTCAGCTGTTCTGGATTATTTACCCAGAACCATGACAAAATTTATTTTTTGATGGCCATTCTTATTGAAGATTTTTACGAAAACACATGATAATAATAATAGTTTATTTGTCCTTTAGGATCATGTTACATGATATAGGATAAGTCATACTATATATGAATAAAAAATATTAAAATACAAATAAATATAGGTACAGTATACAAAAAGACATGCACATTAAAAATATACAATTAAAAAAACATTTACCTTAAAATATGGTGGTATTCAGATAAATTATAAAAACATGAATCTACTAAATAGTTTTTAAGTTTTCTTTTAAAAGGTTCATATTTCTTTTCAGATTTAATGAAATCAGGGAATTGATTAAAAAATTTAATTCCAACAAATTCAGGCGATTTCTCAAATAATGCTGTTGAATGTCTTGGGGTTCTAAATAAATTTGCATTCCTAGTTGAGTATTCATGGTAATTTGAATTTTGTAAAAATTGGTGTATGTTGCGTTTAGCATATAGCAACGTTTTATAAATGAGGTGGCAAAATGCTCTGCAAAAACTTTAGCTATTTGTTTTGGTTCAATAATTGACAGTCCTCCTTCTTCAATTTGTTTAATTTAAGAACCTTTTGATGTTTTACCATCTTGGTGATTTACCTGTTTCCATATATATTTTTGTTTTTGCTGAAAAGTTTTATTGTGCAATCCCTTTTGAAAATGAGAGCTTTTTGCTCCATTTATATTATTGACATATTGTCTCTTTGCTTCTTTGTATCTAATATGTATATTCACATCATTAGAATTTTTTACTAACCAAAATAAATTCCTTATATCAGCTCCCATCCTCAAACTATCTGGAGTTATCCAGTTATTTTTTTTTATTTGTCTTTACAGCTCTTGTGACAACCGGACAATTTACTTCTATATAGTAATTTAGAATATTTAAGAATGTTTCATAGGCAAGATTTATGTTATCAAAATATTCATACACAGAATCAAAATGTTCAGAACTTATTTTTTGCTGCAGATTAAGTAAGTTCGCCTCTGATAAGTCTCTAAAATGTATTTTTTCATTGATATCAGTTACATAACATTTTTCCTTTATATAATTTAATGACACGTCAATTGCTAGGTGATCTCCAATACAGAGGTCTACCACGGTTTCCGTATATGCAGAAAGGTAGTTTGTGAGAAAATAATCAATTTTAGTATGCGACGTTTTACCGTTTTTGTCAGTACAAATTCTAGTTGGTTCTCTATTTAAACAACGCAAGTTAAAATACTCCATCAAATCAACTAATAAAACTTTTTCTCGTGAATCTTTTAAAAAATCAATATTGAAATCTCCAAGTATTGATCTTAGCGATTTGGTTCTCAGGACATTTTTTGTAGTAAATTAAATATCCTACAACTTTGTCATTTACATTTTTTCTGTAACTCTTCTCAATTGTGACATAGGGTCGAAATAACGTGAATTTCATGAAAAAAATTGATTTAGTGACCCGTACTACCTCGCCGATGTGAGTTACGACATCGCCGCAATAGATACTTTTGTAGAGCGTTCAATTTGGAGAAATACATGTCTATGGTCGAAATAATACCATGAAATGCCGCTAAGCTATAGAAATCTGAAGAAAAAAACTCTAATTTTACATGTATTTGAAATAGAAAATCTTTGCACGCCTTGGTCGAGGACTTAATATTAATATTAAGGGCTCAAACTTTCAGGGAATTTTTTTTGGGGCATTTTCAACAAAATTTCAGGACGGGAGCGAAAATAAAAAAAATAGTCGAAAAAAAAAATCACTCTAAATTGTTCCTATTAAACTTTGTGCAACTTATTATTAGGTATATAGTTTCTGTGTTGAAAATTCCATATATAGTTTTTTGGTAGATTGATAAGTTACTATGTATTTAGATAAAAAACTGTTCTTATAAGTGTTTCAGAAAAATTAAAAAAATCATGTAAAAAAATCCTATCTTCATCAAAAATCACATTACTATAAAGTTTTAGATTCTTAGAATTTGGCCTTAGAATTAAAAAAAATTTAGCAACAATTCTGTAAAATTTAATATGCTGGTTATTATTATAAATTTATCTTTTATTAATTATATTTAATTTAAAAGGTATATAATAATATTTTAGAATAGTTTCTCAACAAATTCATCAAAAGAAAAATTCATAATGGACTCTTTGATCGATTTAAACATAGTTGAAAAATTCTTATGCCCTCTAATATTGAATCCAGCTGACGTTGAAGCAACAATTTTCAAAATATTTGATAAAAATGTTGTTTCCCTAATACCAAACATAATAAAATCAAACAAAAAATCAATAGACAACATTCAAGATACATTGAAAAGTAATTTGGTTAAAATGAAAGTAGATGAGATGTGCAGTCATTTACATCGTGTCGGGGCTATTCCAAGATTATACAGAAGAACTAATAGAAGCACACCTAAAGAACCTAGTTCTTATATGATTGAAGCTGTGAAACCTGTCATTAACTTCCACAGTACCTTCCAGCATGTCATAAGCAACAAATCTACTGAGATTTTGAATGAAGTCATTTTGGAAGTTACTGAACAGTAAGTATAAATATGTTATGTTCACAGAGTAATTAATATGTTTCAACTTTTTATCAGGTTTTTAAAATTAGTCCAAGGTGTGCTAAGATCAGTTTGTAAAACTGAGGAATCTTTAAGAAGATTAAAAAATAGAAATGTCGCCGTATCAGAAGAGATCGCTCATCAATCAGATACAGGATCTGACGAAATGAAAATTAGAGAACAAATAAAACTTGACGTTGCCTATTTTTTGCAAAAGGTAATTAATACATTTTGAAATTCACAACCTACTACTAAACCACCTTTGAGTAAATAATTGTTTTGATTTCCCTTTTTATTATCGTAATTTTTATTTTTTTAGCTATATCCTTTAGGCTCTGCAGCATCCAGAGAACTGATGGATTTGCTGAAAAAGGAAATCTAGGATTTTGTTAAATAAAAATTGTTATTGTTGATAAAATTTATTTAATTTATTACAACTTTCTGTATAAACTCGTATTTTCTTTTTAAGAACATAAAAATATCCGAACTTTTAATTTTATACAGCATGGACCACCGGTATGGCCTTGGTCTGTAGAGCCAGAACTATTTGATTTTTTAAATCTGTTTTCACAGCGAAATGTGTATATCAGAAAAGGTAACAATTTGAAAATAATTCAATTATACAGGGTCCTCCAGGAAAATGATACATATCAAAGTTGGGGTTTTTCAGTGGGACACCCTGTATTTTATTTTATATTTAAATTGTCGTCCATTTATACATTATAACAATACGTTGGGTTGTGCAATACAATATGTATATGAAAATTGTATTCAATGACTCCTATACTGCAAAAGAAACAGGTTTTCCTGGCGTCCTCGGGAAAATAACTTCTGTACACTCTAAATTGTTTATTGTATAACAGTAAACATGAACAAAAACAACAGGTTCAAATACAGTAATTCCTTAATTAACGTATTATGTGGATTAACAACTGTAACTAATAATTTGAAAACGACCTTTAGACTTTCATAAATATTATTGGAAGCTACTTAGAAATCTTTTCTTATTAAATAAAATCTGTCAAAATAACACTTATTAAAATTACGAGTAGAATAAACTAGATAATATGAGAAGTTTTTGGTTGCTATTTTTATTTTTTTGCTGAATGTAAAAGTCGCATTAGGTATTGTCAAAAACTTATTCAGTCGATAATAAATTATAACTGGTTAATTTCTTATTACCAATTAACAGTCTATTTACTATTAACCAGTGACCAGTTAATATTAAAGTAATTTAGAATTGTTTTTGTCATTTAAATTTAAAAATATCTCATAATTATTTACTTTAGATATAGGGAGTGTGTCGGCATAAATGTTGAATAATATCGAAAAACTTTTACTGTGGTTTTCAATTGTTTATTTTGCAGTAAACAGATCGTTGAAATCAATACGATTTTCATATATAGCTTGTGAAATACCCTGTATAATCCCATTTTATTTGGTACTGTTATAATGGGAAAAACGAGAGCAATTCAAATAGAACAGAAGTAAAAGTTGGAAATGCTTTTGCCAGTTCTCCCACTTTATACACATAAATTGACAGGTTGTCAGCGGATCTCACCGAAGTGGACGCGATACATTAGCGTACAAAATTATTTTATAGATGTTAATAACAATTTCGAGTAAATAGTTTAATAAATTGTGAATAGCTGTTGAAATTTTGTAAAATTATAATTAGAATATTATAATACATGTTTAATAATTATTTATAATCCATAAATACATGCGATTGTCCGGTTCCGCCGATAACAATTTAAAATTACTTATTCTATGAAACGACACTGGCAGGTAAACATTACTGTGAAATTCTCGGAGTCGCCCGACGTGATTTGACGTTTACCCCCTCTCTACCTACCAAAAGACTTTTCAACTTTTACTTTCTCTATATAAAATAAAATAGAGGACATTAAAAAAAATCTAAATTGGATATGTATCACTTTCTTGGAGAACCATGTATAACTGAAATTAATTTTAAATTGTTGCCTTTTTTGGTATACATCTCGCTGTGAAAACATTTAAAAATATCAAATAGGTTTAGCTCTACAGACCGAGGCGTTATCGGTGGCCCACCCTTTTACCTATACATATATAACATGTGCGGTTATTTACAATGAATAGAATTGTGTTGCTGTCGATGATTGCAATTCTATTTGTCCCATTTTAAATTGGAGTCTCTGAAGCCATTTGAGTAGCATCGGGTTGTGCAAATTCGCCACTTTTAACTTTTCAGGAATAGCTTCATGAATGATAGTTGGTGGAAAATTACGGCAATTCTCCAGTCTTACTTGCAAATGGCCTGGTAACTAAAAAAACAACAAGAGTGTACTTTGGTATGCTTTTTTTTAAATATCAAATGTAAAGAACAGTGTGTAGCAGAGAAACGTAGGAATATCAGAAGACTGAGAAAACTAACTGGGCCACAATTCACCTGTTGTATTTCATGCCAGCCAAAAGCTATCGGTCATTTTGAGTAATGTGTTTAGCACAAAGACGACACCTATATTTAAATTTTTAAAATGTCAAAGTTATTAAAATTAACGTGTTTCTACAAAGCTAAAACTTTCAGAGGAAATGTAGGTTATATAAATGAAATAGAATTCGATTTGCGTACCGCCTCCATCTTGATTTTTTTTTAAATGGTCAACGTAGGTCGAGTGATATATCAGAGAAAAGCTTATTTTTCCTCTTTTTATGAATACTAAAAAATTACCACATTACTAATGTAATACAGTCCCATTCATTAACCTAAAATACCTTATCAGACTTTTGCTATACTCTTTATATACATGATCAGAAAAAAATAATAATGTAGATAATACAGTTACGCTGATCACCCTACAATTTCATGAATTATACCTAATTTGTTTCAAAGAAAATATCTTGTCAGACATTTTTGCTACCCCGTATAAGATACGTGTAAAAGTTTCTAAACTTTAAGAGAACATTTTATGTATAGCAAACATTTATTTTACCTGTAATTGATTGGAACAAAGCACAGGTGTCCATAATGGTAACAGTTTTCCTACAAACGTCGATTGGCATTCCAGTAATGCCTCTAACATACTTAAAAAATGTAGACTCACTATTTCGCAGAGCATTTTCGATTGCTGAATAAGTTGTAAAATGCAGGGTGTTACTTTGCCCCAAAAATCGAAAAGAATGTTCATGGTTACGTTATATGCTTCTGTTATTGGTATGTTACTACTTAAACCTTGTTCTAAATAGATTGTCCAGAGCTGAAAAATTTAAAAATGTATAGTTTTCAAAAAAAAAACTAATATTGATAACTTAATTATTTTATTAGTTCCTAAATACGTTACCTGACACAATATGAACGTGTGAAACAAAGACGACATGTGTAAAACGGATGCTTTTGGTTGTTCGGCAAATCCAGCCATTATGACTTGAATATGATCGGCAATTTGACAAGAAGCTTCTTGAGGAATCGGCTGACTTAAAATTTGACAGTTACTGTTACCCTGTAATGCCGTATGTGTTAAAGATCCTAATAGAAGCCAAGAGAGGAGTCTTATATGGCCTATACATTCTACAAATTCCCTGGGACTAAAAAGAAACTTAATAAATCATCTATGGTATATTTTTTTACATTTATATAAACCTTTGTTGCGTTATTGATGTGCTACATAACCAGGGAAAGTATCGTGTTACAGCTCTATTATCTCTACCATTACCCTTTGTTATTTCTAATGCTAAATATTGAGCAAGACTACATTTTATGATACCACCTAATGTGTCGTCGTTTAAACCGACACTAACTCCTTTACAATAGCTCTAAAAATAAAAAAATACCTTCAAATATCATTAAGGTGTACAATATCACTTTTCTTCTTGCAAATGACATTAGAAAACAGAAGGAGAAAATAAATAATAAAACGAATAGAAAAAAAATACTTATGTTGAGGTTTATAAGAGACACAGAGATAAATGATTCTCTCAATAAATGTTTCCAAAGTTATAAGTGAGCTATGAGTGACAGCGATATAGTTACGAGTCGTGTCCGTGATAAATAATCACAGCTCTAAATTAAATCCAAACTGACACTTAAAAATAAGAAGAATCGTACGCTTTGACATGCGTGATTTTTCCAAAGCCTACTTTAGAAACATTTTTTGTGACTTCCTATTCAATTGTTGTGGTCGGGTCTTGGTTTATAAGTTCATTACACAGTACCTTCAACAATTCCCGTATCCCAAGTGATCTGGTAAAACAATAAATGGACTGAAAATTCCTTTTGTTGATGATTTTTTTGACAACTTAATTGTCAGTTACGTCAAATACGTCAGTGGCATTGTTTTGAGGTTACTGCTGACATTGTGTATTACGAGTATATAATTATTAAGTGTGTTACATTAATATTTCGTCGCTGTTATTGCAATAGGTTGTATGTCAAAAAATACACTTTTTACTCAAGATTTATTCTAAAGCAAAATAACCGCGTCTAACGTACTGAAAAAGCTAATTTACGATTACCCAATAATAAAGCGGCTTGCATATCTTAGCTAATATCTATTTTGTCGTTATTAATATTTTTGTATCTCTTGAAAAATTCGTCTTTTTTCACATACCACCTATTGCAGTAACAACGACGATTTGATATTTTGTAACAATTAAAAAAAAAACATTAAAAACAAGAGGAAAATTGATATTTTATCGACTGATAGGAGAAAAGTTTTTTCTGTAAGTATACATTACGAAAAAAATGAATTTTATTTACCTTCATTTTGGATATGGCATGAAAATCTGTTAAAAATTCTAAAATATCGCCTAGATTTAATTTCATACAGTCGGATATACCGGTTGTAAATCCTGGCCCGTATTCTAATGCTAAAGAAGAACAGTCTTTTATTACAACATTTGATGGAATAGAGCCCCCTATATCCTGAAAATAAAGTTAAAAAAATATTTTTGATTTTTTTGGTGTTAGCTCCCATACTATAACTTGCTACAGAAATTCTATTAGAAAAGGCGCCTATGGCATTATTTATCATAAACCATGGATTTACCTGTAAAATGAGATTTATCAACATTAATAGATTGGAATCTGGAATTGTAGTTTTGAATTTGAGCGCTTGAACCAATTCAAATACAACCATGCGACTTAGATATAATTTGTCTCTTTCCTAAAAATATCAATTATTATTTATTATAAGCACATTTGTATTTCCACGTAATTTATTTTACCTTCGCAAATGCTTTGTAACACAAATAACAAATTTCAATAAGGCAACCATATTTCAAGGTCTGAGTTTGTATTGCATAACTCAGGACTTTAGAAAACGGATCCAAGAGTCCCTTGAATTGAGATATTAAAGGAATTTTAAATAAAGAAGACATAATTTTCAACAAAGGCAACAAATCCTCCATAGTATTTAACAAAAATACCAATTTTCTGTATAAAACTTCTACTTGTTGCAATACAGTACCCCACATTGGCGTGCTGGCGCCTAAGGCAACTTCGAGAGGAAGGCAGTTCAAATAACATGCCATGTTTTGTAAAATAGTAGGCAATATATCTACAGGCAATGTCTTTTTGGAGTTCATCGTCTGAAAAAACACAAAAACAAGTTATTGCTGGGCAAATTTAGTTTTAATCTACTTACTTCCAACAAAAGTTGAATGGGAGCTACTGGATTTAATTCGTTGAAATCAATTAATGCTTGAATAACACTCTTAAAAAATTGTACTTTGATATTTTCTGAAACAATAATCCGTGATATATTTACAAGACGAAGACATTTAATTTGTTCAATTTGCATTTTAAGATTTCGACCATTTCCACCTAATAAGTTTGTGGACTTTCATTGCCAAGAAATAATGATTAAAATTAAATTCCCCCCTTTAGGTACTCCTTTTTACTCGACAGCTGTTGATCTGTGGCTTATGAACTATTTCCTATTTCTGTTTGTGTGTTCTCGTTTTATAGCCAACTCTTTCTTAATCTTCTCTTTGGTCGTCGTTTCTCAATAAACTTCTGTTCTGTTACTTTTTTTCGGAACTTTAAATTCAAAATTAGATACACTGGATTGTTTTAATCTAATTGAAATTCCAACATGTCTATATTCGAATGTAATTCACGTTTATGAGCAAGGTTTTAGCAATAACATATGCTTGTACCAGTTTTGTAGAGTAAAAGTTAGTAAACAGTAAAGCAATTTTGATTTAATGGCTTTGAATCAAATAAGTATGTACGCATTAACACAACTAAGTACTTACCAGGAGCATTTGTTTGGAACATCTGCGTGAAAATTCCGTTCGGTGCTAGTTGGTGTAAAACGCATCGTAAAAATTGATGTGCTACACTTATTGCTCCACCAGGCAAATGAATATTACTTTCTGTTTGCCAGGGATACCTTGCATTCGTTGCCACCCTGAAATACAAAAGAGAAACCCTCATTTAAAATATTTTGACAGTGTTGAGTGCCTGTAATTTATAAAGTTCTTGTAATTTTATTGAGTATTATAGACTGTTGTATGAAAAACATTATTACTCTGGTTATGCAAACTAGGCTCTAAGGTCCTTTTTAAAACGATCTAAAGTTACTTACTTAGCCACAATGCTAAGAATATCGGGCAGCATAGGAGCAGCAAGCGCAGGTTCTCGGTGTATAAAAGTTCCTAACGTAACAATACAGAGTCCAATCTCTTCGTCGCTGTATTCTTCTTTGACTAGTCCGCATTCCGAACATCTTTCCGTAACGCAATCGTCACCAATCCTGAATGAACTCTGTTTCATATCAAATTCTTCGAGTTTTGGCGACATTAGGGGACTTAGCCAGGCACCAGGCTTTCGGGGATCATGTATAGAATAGGAATTCATCGCAAAAGGACCTACTTTGCGCATACGTTGTCTGTGATTTAGCATTAAATCCCCTGAAAACATAAAAGTTGCAACTTAAACATTTAACAGTACATAAATTTGTGTTCTTACTTTGATTTTCCATTTTTATCGATTTAAAATGGCCATTTTCGTCAAATTCTGATTGATTTGGAGGACTTTCCAATGCAACTTGTTTGGTTAACTTCCTAGGGCTGTGAGAATGAGAAGATGTTGGATGGGGATGATGGTCTGGTAATTTTTCTGACTTTTTACTTTCTACCTTTGTTGCTAGTTGGGTGTTAATACCTAAAGCTTGCTTTAATTTTTCTAATAGTTGAGGAGTTGGGTGCTGGCCAATTGGTAATAATCGCTCTTGATTAGGAATTTCTAATTGCGAATCAAGAGCTGGAGCGAAAACATCGTCTTGAAGAGGCGAATCTAGTATTCTAGATGATCCAATCGGTAATAATCTTTCTAGAGAAGGTGTAGGTAGAACCCCGTGATTATTTCTATAGCAATCATCACAGTCTGAAACGGGAGTACCAACCGGGGTAATACTCGGCTCAATAATTTTTTTGTGCTTTGGTTTTCCTGAATGATAAGTATCAACAAACGTTGAAGCAACTTGTTTATGAAAATCTATAGTTACAGTTTTGGCTACTTGAATCCCGTTGACAGAAGACGATGAATTCAACTTGGAACAATGTTTAACTAGCTCCGAATGATGCAATTTATTGTCATTAGATTTGGAAGAGTCTTCTTCGCTTCCTATGGTCCACGTCGGTCTACTCTTATTAGGTAATTTAACCAAGGGATTGATGTACGTATCTTTAGGAGATCTTACGTAATTTTCGCAACCGCTATCTGTTATTCCTTCATCAAAAGAACCTTGGACACTTCCTTGGAGCGTGCTGTCCGACATATCGCTTTCCGGTATTACAATTAATTCAGATTCGGTGTCATCATCAATACTCATTTCCGGCAGCTTCCTAACTCTTTTTTCGGGATGAACGCAGTGAATAGCTTCTTCCCAATGGGTTTCCATACTTGTGGCTGAAGTTGGTTTGCCGTATGCCACTTGGATTTTTCCACATCTAGAACTACCTGAAACTTGGATCGATTGTCCATCTGAGGAATATATTGGTGAGGGTGGAGGTGTTGCACGTTCTGGGTGTTCCATTTCTGCCCCTAGAGATGGTTGACTTACATCTGAAATAATAACATTAAATAGTTCATTTATGAAATATTTAAGCCTGTGTCGATACACTAACCTCTGGATCTAGAAGGGGGTTGTCCCATTATGATTGTGGCTGGTATTCTTCTGCAATGATGATGTTGAGAGTCTAAAGTATTTAATACTATCCTTATCAATGATGTAAGCTGCATACAATGTGGCTGCTGATTGTATTGATACTAAAATGATAAACAGTTAAGCATTTTAATGTAGAAAAACAATATACTGAATACCTTATATAATAAAACCACGAGGGACATGAGCCAGTTTTTACGAAAATGCGATTCCAAAGCCCAAAGACTGTACGTAGGTTGTTGAAATTCCATAGTATTGGGAATATAATACGGAGAAGGGGCATATTGAAGTAGAATAAGGCAGGTAGGAAGCAGTAGACGTCCCATCAAATGGTTTTGATCCATAAGTTGAGGTAAATTTGAAAGAAAAACGCTAAATGCTGGAGACGATCGTAATCGCTGAGGTGGTAAGTATAGTCCTCTATCATTTTGACTATACCCTAACAGGAGATAAAGATGTCTCAATACTATCCCTTGAGTTTTTGCTAAATTCTTTTCTTCAGCTGGATATGCCTGGTCAGATCGGGACAAAAACTGCATAAGGAGAAACACCAAGAGATGCATAGTTTCTTTATCGGCTTCCTCCAAGTCTATGACCCTTTGAAGAAAGGCTGTGATGTTTTGGTCATCTACTACGTTCAGCGAATGCATGTGGCCATCTGAAAAAATATATACAGTTTATTTTTTAGAAATATCAAACTTTTCAAAACGCATGCTTATTTCTATAAACAATTTTCAAGCTATAATTATTTAAAACCGCTATACGTAGATAACTGCCTACTATAGAAACGTAAGAACTATATGCATACAGAATTACAGCAGGGCAATACAACCAGATCTCTCTACTTGTGTTACTATAGTGGCTAAAAACTGACCTAGTCCGAATCGAGAACTTTTCCTTTTTAAAATTGGCGCTGAATATTGGCGACTGTACACCTTCTCCTTTGTTTCTATAAAAATATAATCTCTTCAAATTGGTACTAGTTCGTTTTTAATTCTATGTTACCTTTGTTTTCGTGTCTGGTTATTATAGAAGCTGGTGCAGACATGGTTCGTTTGTAAGGCCATTTGGTTCCAAAACTAGCAATTAAAGTCTTCACCGAGGTCTTCGCGCTTCCATCACATTGAGATAAAGCTTCGTGTGCCCTCTGAATTTTCCTTAGTAAAGTTTCGCTGTTTGAATCGGAATTCCTTAAATCTAAAATAATAAATAATTATAGAAATTTTAAGTAATATTGAAGCTCAATCGAACAATTTTGATTTACCTCGTAAATAGCTGATCTCACCGGATTTTTCTAGAGTTATTTGTGCTTCTATGAAGAGAGTGTCGAAACGGTTCAGGAAAAAATCCCATGTCATAATTTTGCGCTCGCTTAAAGAGTTATGTAGTTGATATAGCGATTGTAGGACCATTGGACGGTCCATTATGACAGAATCGAACTGTGTTTCCAAACACATGATCAATGACTGAAACAATAATAATAATAAGTTGTGGACGGTTTGCATCAGTATTTGTTTACTGTTGTGTTGTTAGGGTAACTTAAGAGATGCATATTCTTGTTTTATCCAATCTTTCCTTTAAGGCTGTCAATTCCTGATGTGATAAACAGTTAACCGGTTCGACTGATTTTGACCGGTTTCGGTTTTAACCGAATTTTTACTATTATAACCGGTCCGTATATCTGGTTAACCAGTCCGGATATCCGGTTAATTGGCCAGATTATCTGGTTAACCGGTCCGATCAAACCGAGCCGGTCGAACCGGACCGAATTCGGCGGTTTAACCGTAACAGTGACCAGTTAAACCCGTCATTGGTTTATCCATTACTGGTTTAAAAGTAACCATCACCGGCTTAATCGTGGCATATTTTGGATAAAAGTAATGTAAATTTATTGAAAAATAATAATTTTTTTAGTTTTGCGTTGTTTTATTATTACATTTGGAATGTTTATATTTGTTTGTATTTTTTATAAAATAAATACAGTCTCATTTTGTTTTACTTACTTTTAAATGTATAAGTTTTAAAAACATCGATGTTTATAAATATTGTTTTTTTCAATTCGGTCATTTTGTTGCCATCGATACTTTGTTTTTGGTGTATCATTCGATATCAGTATCGACGTTTTTAGGAAATATGCGCATCAAACTATACTTATTCATTTATGTTTACGGTTCCACTAAAACCGGTTTCGGGTACGGTTAAACCAGTTACGGCTCAGTGACAGGTTTAACCGGTTCGATTAGAGTTACACCGGTTACGGTTAAACCAGTTATAAACCGGTTCTGGTTAAACCGGTTACTTTCTTTAACGGTTTAATGGTCCTACGGAACCGGTTAACCGGTCACGGTTACCAGCCTTACTTTCTTTAAATTTTACAAGATAATATTTTCAATTTAGTATGTCACGAATGATGTCTCTTAGGCCAAAGAAAGGGTCCAAAATTTGGTTGGTTAATGAATCGGTTACCTTTCGGTGTAGCGTTGCCTTGATTATTGCCGACTTTACTTCTAGCCTAGTAAAGATAAATCTGGCAACGCGGCGATCGAGTTTGTTTCACTTACATTTTAATTCACTTAACGTCTTGTTTTCGGCATTTTTCTTCAAATTAAATGAAATTAAAATAGTTGTTTCTTTAATTAGTTGTTAAAAATGTTTATTAACATAGAGTCAAAAGTTATTTTTACACCTGTAGCTCCCGCGTAATGGCTCATTGGATATCTTCCCGTGGTGTTTTTAACCCGACTTTTAATCATATAATTAAAATAAGTGTAAAAAAGTGTATGGTGGCCCGTTATTAACCTGTTACAAGGTAAATAATAACTTTAATAATTATGCCTAGTATCTACTGTATTCCTGGCTGTAAGTCCAATATAATAGTGTTTTAAAATAAGAACATGAAAGTGGTGATAATTATTTGCAATCCGATGGAAATTTAATAAGAATGTCTGTAAAAACTAAGCTTAAACCAAATACATGCCCCTGTATTTTTCTAAATCTGCCTAAATATTTTTCAAAACCTGCACCTACTCCCAGAAAATCATGTAAGGTACTGAAAGAATCTGTTTTAATAGGCTAAATATTTCACATCGCTTCATAGCGCTGCGGTGTTGCCTGGCTAGAAGTAGAGTCGGTAATGTAATGATCCATCTTAAGGTGATCACATTACTTGTGGCTACTTCGACCAAGGCTTGGTGACATTCTAGACTAATACTAATAAATAATATACAAAGATGTGCATTAATCACCTTAACAGCAGCATCGTGGATGGTCCCCAAATAAAGAGTAGCTCTTTGAGCTACACATACATTGTTGTCATCCATGCTAGATATTAAATAACAAAACGCATTAGCAAGCGCTGCCTGTAGTTGGTGTACATTACGCAAGGGGCTGGAATCCATGAACCTGGTGATAACAGTGACTCTTTCGACTGCTGTGTATCTGATACACCAATTGCTACTGTGGAATGCTTCTTGTATGACTCTCCAGAATACGTCAGACCCAGCTGGTAAAGTGATGCAGTGCAAAAGTAAAGGAACGACAGTTTGGCAAATATGTGAGTGTTTCGAATTGCAAAGTTCCCACAAACTAAAACAATGAAGATCAGTAAAAGAATGAAAACTGTTTATATTAACCAACTTTTTAATAAGCAAATTTTCTTGGCACCATATAAAAAATCCTCTATGCTCCTTGGAAGCAATCGTGCAAGCGTCCCCATGTAATATCAAAACATTCAGACACTGTAACATATAATAAAGAACATCTGGTTTGTCCACTTTTGATAATTCCTGGAGTAGTTGGTGTATATACTGTAAAGGTTGCGGTAGATCTGGTACGGAAAATTTAAATTTCCCAACGGAAGTTTGCCAGAAGTTGTCGACATCATCTCCTGAATCAGTTTCGACCGGTTCATCATTTTCCCCTATGACTTGCGCTTTTACTATTTGGGCTTTCGCCATAGCTGAAAAACGCATCGAGAATGGGTAAACAAAAAAAAGTGATGAAGTTGGTTGAACTCACCTACGTCTGATTCGGATAAAGTTATAGCTCTAGCGAAACCCGCTGGCACCCTTTCGACTGGAATAATAGGTAAGTCTAATTGTTCCGAGACGGTCTCAACAGTTGCAGTCATGATCTAAAAAATCTATGTTGTCTAAAGTGCGTCATTTATTTCTCGGTAGCAACATTTTCTTTGAATGCTCACACCATAAAATACTTTTTTTATTATCACAATAAACTTAAATGATCAAGGATTCAAGGAAATTTTAAGGAACATATTTCAGAATATCGTATCACCAGTGGCGTAGCGTAGGGGCGGCAGTTTTAGAAAATATTACTTACTAATTAAGGATAGTCTTCTTTTTCCAAAAAACGAAAGCTTAAAACACATGGACAGATGCTTAGTCGCATTGTCTTTTTGGGCTTCTGGAAACCTGTGCTGCATGAAGTCAATGATGCCCAAAATTATTTACAAACAGAAGGACTCAACGTGCATTACTTTACAAATGCTTTTTACAGAAAAAACGAGAGAATTGGTAGATGTGCTAAAAATGTGTTTGAAGACTTTGGCATTTTAATGGAACTTCAATGAAAAATTACAAGGAAGCAAATTTTTCGTGATTGAAGTAAAGATTCTGCCTTGTTCCAATGATAAAACAGTTACTATTTTCGCTAAATAAGATAACTATATAGTTTCTACAGCTTCAGAATTTGGTGAACAAATTTGCCTTTCTTACGCCAGCCAAGTTGCTGGGCATTGACAACCTGGAGTGCAATCTAGAACACGTCTCACGATTGAGGAATGTTGTAGATACTACAGACGGAACAAAAATGAATTTGTTAATTCAAGCTCACTTGAGTTATAAAAATTACAATTTAGGCTGGAAGTTAGCTTGCCTGCCTGCCTGCCTAATAATAATAATGCTTTGAACATTCCTCACACGATCTATCTATAATGTATGCATTAATATTGACTAATCTGTCTATTGAACAAGAAATGACTGATGCAATATATTGATATAGCTATTAAAAAATTTGTTGTTTCATAATATTTGACTAATAATAAATATTCTTAGACTAATATTGTTTTTGGATAAAAATTGATTATTATTAAACTACCAAAAGAAGCTTTTACATAATTTTTTTTTGTAGTTTTTTAAAATTTTAAGTTTTGGATAAAAATACATTTTATTAAAACCTCTATGGGGGAGGGAGCGGCAAATGTGGTATCTGCCCCGGGCGACAGAAACCTACGCTACACCACTGCGTATCACACCTGGAAATGTGGTTTTTAATAGTTCAAGGGATTAGGAAAGAAAACGTTAGCAATAATAGCTCTTCCACAATCAATTAAAAATACTTTGCTTAGAACAAAAATGTATGAAAGTATCGAAAAATTTGGGGAGACGTTTCTAGGGTCAAACAAAAATATAGGTTGAAGATGATATGCTAATGAAATTATAAGATCGTTCGCTCTGTCTGTCTTTCTTATCTTGACCTAGGAATATTATATTTGAGTTGATGTACGATAGGATAAATGATGGTTAATTGATATACTGCTAAAACCTGCTAACTGACAAAATCTGTGAAAAAGATATCATTTGATATACCTACTTACGATATTATTTAAAAAATTATATTGGTATTGTTTAATACAGTTAACAGGTTTTGGAAATATATCGTTTTTATTAATGTTTATTGGACGATTTCAAAGAAAATGTGTCTAAACCCAAGCCAATTTTTGGTTGGTTTGAGTTTTAATACTCCTCGTACAGAACACACGTGTGGCATGTGCACTATAACTCCTCCGACAGAGTGTACTTCTGGTATTGGCATGCTTATAACGGCGTCACTTTTCGCTTCTTTCTTGTCACTCTCTGGAGGACTCTTTCGGCTATGAGCGTCTTCGTAGTTTTCTTCCAAAGGGGGCTGAAATCGATTAACAATTTATAAATTAATAAATCATGAACCACGAGCAGACTCATTTCAAGAATTTATATAAACGTATACACTGCTATTTTTTTGTAATCCTTTAGATACATTCAATATTTTGAACAATAAACACATAGCCATTGCAAAAGACCCAAACATACATTCTATTATACAATATTTAGTTACTAAAAAGTATTTGAGATAATTAAAACCGGAAATAAGCATATTTTTCAGATATAAGGCAACTTTGTAATTTAATCTTCCCTCTTTTTGAAAAGGTAGCATTTATAACAGCCATCCTGTATCTGCAAAATATTGATTTGTTTAGGATGAAGCGTGAAATATTTCAATTTTTTTTTAGAAAACATTTTAAACTATTATTACGCCTATATTTTGAAAATATATCTAGAAAACGTCAGTATGAACTCAATGATGTGATCAATCACACAAGATTTGCAACTTACATCAGGTGGATGAGCTGGATGAATAGGTGAAAGGTATTTCAGTAATTGTAATGATAATTGATGCCACATGATGCTAGATTCACAGTAAGTACACTCAGATTTTAATGAACATGAGTGATTCCCTATCCACGCTGCTGTAATCATACACTTCAGCAACCAACAAACATCTTTGCAAAGCGATGAATTCAATCCGGTATGCTTATCTGTATCTTGCAGTTCCATTTGCTTCAGTAAGATGTCTAGCATGAGTAAGCAACAGAATAGGTTATGTTCGGCGTCTGTTTCGAATTCTGCTTGTGGTGATAAGCGATTTTCCTCATCTGAAAATGATGTCTTTGCTGAATCGCCATCTTCATTAAGAAGTGCTGCAAGAGTGAAATCATGTGTGAAACTCGTTCACACTTTCTACTCTAGCAACTGAGCCAGTCTCTACTTAACAATAGCAGGTTATTTATAGGATAGATTGGTGCTACCATCAGTTAGCACAAATTATTTAGTTAACAATTCAGGCTCCCAGAGAAACACAAATATACTTTTAAAGGAAAAAATACAGGTGTTGCAGTTCTTAAATTGTTGAAAGCTTTGGAGAAGAATGGTTTCACTATGAATTATTAGAATCGCACGTGTAAGAGACGAACAATACCTAATTAAAAAATTGTTAGAGGTTAAAAGCAATATTATTTCGATAACATTTAGTTTAAGATTTTATCTATTGCTAGAAGGTTGACAATTTTTAAGTGCTTATTGATTAGAGGACTAATCGATCCTATATTATTCACCATCATTGATTTCTAGCAACGCTACAAAAATTATGACTTCTTATGACATTAACTAAAGGACTAAAAATAGCGTTGTGGTAGACACTGACTCATAAGTAAATAACTTACAAATAGATCCTCTTTTCTGTTCTTTTTCTGGCCTACCAGGTATCTCTAAATCGTGAGATGTTACTGGTTCACCCTCGCTTTCCACTATACCTTCTTTCATGTATGATACACCTTCTCCAAAGATAGTAAATAATAGATTTAAAGGAATTAAAATTTCCAGTAAGGTAAGAGTCTGGAAACATTAAAAAAAATTGTCTTTCAACACGTTGGACATTAATTATAATAGAACAGTGGTCTCCAAACTTTTTAGTCTGAGCGCCATACTGACTCCCAAAAGGGACAAGACCAATATGCATACTTTAGTTTAGAATTACAAGCAAATTTTCGTTTGGGACTAGCCGACGAGTGAGGTATCTATGAAGTTGAAAAACAATCTCTAATGGAAAAACTTGTGTATTAAAATTAAGTTATCGTTGTTCTCGTATCAAAGGCCACAGAAAAAGATGATGGTTCAAATCCATTAATGGAGACAAATGATACGAAAATGTACCCTGAAGGGTTTGGTTATAGAGGCAACTACTGTTGGTGAAGGCGGATGGACATAACTACCCCCAAACTTGGTAGTGCTCGGGGACTGTAGTTTGAAGACCCATGTCATAGAATAATAGCGATAGTTTAATAATGTATTTCTTATTGAAGCCACATATTGAAATTGGAATCGTTAATAATTGTATTCAAAAAAATGCTTCTTACCTGTAACCATTGCAGTGCCTGCTGCTGTACTTTAGCACTGGTTTTTTGAAATCTGACAGAAACAAACTGATACATCTTTTTTGAATTAAATCCCAATGGACTCATTTCTGTATCCAGAATTTTACTTAAAATAATTCGCAGTTCGAATAATTCTTTTTCTGGCACATCATTTACAATAGCTTCCATCCAGTGAGGCATTACGTAATCCCAAATCTCTTGAGTTATCACTTCGTACGGGACTAGACAAAACAGTCTGTTCAGTCCGTCTTTTAAATGCGTGGTTCTTGATGATAGAATGTCCCAGTGTCCCCCAATTCGGGCGTACTCAGGAGGATGGGGTAAAAGGCAAGAAATAAATAGGTTGTAATGAGTCTGGCTAATGCTTCTTAGCCAGTTACATACGATTTCAGTCTTTAATTTCTCTAAAGTACTTTCTTCTTGTCCTATAACCGATAATTACTTAATATAATATTATGTTCGTTAGTTTTCATGGGGGGGTCCAGGGAAATGTTTTTTCTTCTTCTAGTCGAAATTATATCAATCAAACAAAATGAACCGGGCAATGAATTTATACTTTTTAAGAGTGTTTATAGACCCTTGTTTCTGGTATTTGTAAAAAATTCAATGGTAATCTTTTGTAACCTTTAACATCTTCCTGGATCCACCCTGGATTTGTTATTAATATTTACCATCATACGAGTAGGCTGTCATGTGAAACCAATGGAAAATCATAGTTAGTAGACGACCCAAAACTTCCACCGATGTATTATCTGTAGGTGTACATCTTCCTACTAGTAACCACACACCATACCGTCCTAAAAGTTGCCTTTCCTCTATGGTTATATTATCTAATACTGGTACAGGACTTTTTCTTTCTTTGCCCTCTCTACTTTCTCTGCCTTCTTTCACTTCGTCCTTCTTTTCTTCTTTATTTTCTAATTGAGGTACTTTGGCTTCCTTAAGTAAACTATAAGTTTATTTTTAAAAACTGTAATGTTTAACTAACTACGCGAAAATGCTCTTTCTAACAAAAAACATTTAAGTTTGGATTAAAATAGGAAGATACAAACATTTTGATTAAAAGGGATATGATAAGTACGTGGCAGTTGGAACACAAAAATAAACTTTACTTAGCTGGTCTCTTAACAATTAGAACAAGATCCAAGAGGTAATAAAGACAATTTATAGACATTAGTGTAGATACACAAAATATATAAGAAGTTCTGACAAAAAGGGTTACTTTTTACAGTAAATGTCAAACATATCGTTTGATAAATGCAAAAGTGTTGCAATTATAGAGATACCTATTTAAAATTGTTGCATCTATACTTGTATATACAAAAGATTTCCACATACTATTTAGAAGATTCTAGATGAATCGCATGAGAGGTGGTACTACATTTAGATATGAACCATGTAAGTTACGTTATTGGTTGTTTAAAGAAAATTTTACCTTACAATTGCTTCAACCATATATGTCTGCATTTCAGATTCCATGGACCATGTTGGTGGAATACTTTTATGTACAACATGGTCACCACCTCTTCGATTGTTATGTCTGTTGTTGTGACACTGTTCGCAGTATCTTATTGGATGATTACCGTTGTAACTAGCACATTCCGTTGAAAAACATATAGATATTGCTGATTTATCGGTTGACCTGCAGTTCTGAAACAAATATCGGTTCAAAGAGAATATTTTTCATCATATTGACTAAGCAATGGTACCTTATTTTCGCATACCATCGATACCTGTTGCATAGGGTGAAGGATGTCGAAAAACATCTGGTTGGGGTGTTCTCTGTGGATTTCATTCGCGCATTCAATGCAAAGATAGAGAGGTGGTGGTGTATCACTTGCGAAAGTTATAGATATACAATGGTCATAACAAACTTTGGCAGCTTCCGCGTTTCCTGTGTTCGGACACATGTCTCGTTGACAAACAAAAGGAGTAGGATCTACAAAAAATAAATATCAAGTGGATATTGAACTAAAAAAATCCACGCAGTTTTCTCATTATTTAATATACATTTTCATAGCACAACAAACATATCTGGTTTCTTATTTATATATCAATAAAGATTGCAGACATTTTTATCGCGTTAATAAAAGTTTTAAGCATTCATTATAAAATAGTTTGAATACTTTTTGAGTTAGACATTATTATATTACTACCATAGCCATGAGTTAAATCTAATTTAAAAGATAACAGTCTTAAATATCTCATGTTCAATTTTTTTACAAAATAATATCAAATTATTTGTGAAATTTAGAATTATAAGAAAGAAATAAGAAACATGATAGGTAATTAATAGACAAATGAAATGATCTGGTTTTATGAGATAAAAGCTTCAAGGTACCTATATAATTATGTGGAGTGTTTCACAAAACGTTTAATATTTTAATAAACGCAAATTATCGTTATCTTGCATGTAATAAATGATTGACAGTTATATTTGACCTTTTAAATAAAAATGATATTTTACTGGCTTCAAAATGGCGGATATTAAAAATATAATGTATTCAATGTTATATGGGTAATTAGGCAGCTAAGTAGCATCAACAACGAGCTCTTTAAATGTTAAAATTCCTGCAAATGTGTTGAAAGCTTTTTTGCGGCGCTTTCCACTCTCTTATGTCCTTGTTCTAGACATATAAATAATAATTATCCCAATGCCTAAAAGGATAATCATATTTTGTTTCCCCGCATTATATTTCATACTGAATAAAATACCTACATTTTATCTATTTCTTGGAGACATAGTTAACCAAAGGCTGACGTGGAATCAACATCTCAGAATACTCTCATACAAAGCTACATAAGCTGTAGGAGAATATGCTGGACAAATTGGGGCCATATGAAGAAGGATACAATTCTGGGAATGCCTACTGATATAGCTATAACCACACATACAGATACCAGTCCATAAATCATGGAAGCAGGGACTTCCCATACATGTTGAACTCGTCTGGTATACAGACGGTTCAAAAAGGAAGGATCCAATGTTGGAATATTTGAACTTAAGTCAAAAACAATGATTTCGCTGTCTAGGAGAATACGCAACAGTGTTGCAGGCTGAGCTAATAGCCATACAACTACAACACTGTGCAAGATAAATAATAAATCGGCAAGTATCAGGCAAAATTATTGTCATCTACTTTGGTAGCCAAGCAGCTCTAAAGGCAATTTTTTCTCCAGAAATATAATAAATCACGACTGGTATAGACTGCCTAGAAGACCTAACAGAGCTTATTAGTCAGAACAACGTGACCTTAGCCTGGGGTACCAAACCACGAATAATATCAGTTGATGAAAATGCCAAACTAGCTCCAAAAGGCTCCAATTAGGCCATGTCAGGCCCAGAACCTTTCTGTGGACTTGCTAAGATTCACTAAAGACCTACTCTACTGCCTCAAAAACGATAAATAGTTAGAATAACAGTAGGGATTCTTGCCTGACGCTGTTGCCTAAGAAGGCAAAAAATGCTATTAACAATAAAAAAGACCAAGCTAGACAAGGGTCGCATCAAGGGCGGCTCCAAGACGAATTTTCGGGGGAGGGGGGCATTCCCTTTAGCCATTCCCTTAAGCCATTCCCTTTAGCCATTCCCTTTAGCCATTCCCTTTAGCCATTCCCTTTTTGGCATATTTTTTTGAATAAAAGGCCCATAAATCGTAATAATTTTCATCTCGGGAGGGGGGGGGGGGGGGGGGGGGGGGGGGGCATGGCTCCTGGAGTCGCTCTTAGGTCCCATAATAGTGCGCTGAACAATAATAAATAATATCCAACTTCTTTTAAATCTAATCTAATCTACTGATCTACCCAATTCTTAGACTGAATATTAAAATGTTTAGGAAAGGAAACTAATGAGGATAAAATAAAAGTACCTAGATAGTTACCTGCAAATTTGCATATGAGATTCTTGCGGTCAAACAAATTAGCATTGAAAGTTGGCCAATAATAAAATAACAATTTAGCTGCTGACGATCGAGCTGTTGAGGTACCGTAGGCTATTACACTGAGAATATCTTTTAAAATGTTCTGTTTCAACGTCATAAGGCATTCCAATAATTGGCAGTGATGTGCAGGATTTGTTGAATATTGGAATACCATCATTATGACAGTTGATACAGATTGACAGATATCATTATCACGTTCACTATGCCTTGCTGAAAAAAATAAAACAATTATTAATAACAATTTATGTTTAAATTAAAAGATGTTATAAATGTTATTATTTGGAGATTACTACATTCTAATGCATTTCTAGTATTTTTTGCTAATTATGCCCAACACTATAAATATTAAATTAATTATTTTAAATACTATAAATATTATACGCAGGCTATTTTATATCTTTGTTTAATGCGTACGGTTATACCTTTGTTTTACATACTTACTTATTGTAAAAGGTAAGATATAGAAACATAATGTGTTAAGAATTTCCTGATGTAAGTTTTGTGGAAGAACTGATATTGTAGATGCAGCTAAATATAGCAAATTATCAATTAGATCATGTTCCAAAAATGGTAGAAGACAGCCTAGACATTGGAGCATAGACTGACCAAATGCTGAAACAAATATAAATTTGATGTAATCGCCCTTTTTTTATTAGACAGGTATTTGAAATCATTTGAAACGTCGACAATTATTGTAACAGACAATTTTCTTCAATCCACCTTTCCCGTTATTTGACAATTTTGCATTACTCATGCGCGAAAAAAGCGCGGGACTTTGAATCTGGTAATTTTCCATACAACTTATTTTCTATCTTTCCCTTATCTTCGCCTTACAACTGTTGGGTTGGCTACGACGATTACCCCTTGTCATCGTTACTTTAAACAACTGTCATCTAGTCTATATAATAGGGTGACGTTTATTTAATTTATTTATAGTTTATTTATTTAATACTAATTAATTTATATAATACTTTAGCACTATCACAATTCTAATTTATTTATTACAATTTATATCTTCTCTCCAACTCTTAAATTCAATCTTCTCGTCCGTCGACAACTCGCGCTATTTATACCAAGCCCAACTCTGTCCGAGAATTCCATCTCTATGACTCAACGGCACGTACAGCTTGTTCTGGTAGTTTCTCGAAGCGGTACGTTTGTCTCTATATTGCCAGCGCGCTAGACTTCATACCGCAGGCAAGGAGTAAACAAAGCCCAGGGCTGCCTTTTACTCGACAATAGGGGAACCAGAGACACTTTTTTTGGAATATATTTGCATTTTCTAAACAGATTTTTTTAAGACGACTTCGTTCCACAAGGTAATAATGGACCAAATTTTTGTAATTTTGCCTTGAGCAAATAATACACCTAAAAATGTCATTGGCTCCCCTACCAATAATAAAAATTAAAAATTACATTTAGAGATGTGTAATTGGAAATCAGGGTAGGAAATATAACAAATTTTGATGATTTTAACAGGAAGTAGGATTTGCGCATGAGTAATAGAGATCATCAATAACGGAAAGGTCTGTAGGAATATAACGCCAAATTTCAGTTAACTATAATGCATTTTTCTTATATAATTTGTCTGTTAGAAGCATTGTGTATCAAATTATTATTTTGAAAGCAATTTTGTCCTTACGAAGTATCCCATAGGTGATGAGTGGCGCAACCTCTATCAAAGGAATGAGTGAGTTATAAAGTCCTTTGTAATCTAAACTGGGAAAGAGTCCCATTCTGACAGTGTCCATGTCTGGATTTTTAAGGAGTTCAAATGGAGAATTAGGTACATCTTTGAGAACAGCTAAAACATTATGCAATTAATTTTGAGCCATACATAACGAATTCAACTTTATTTACTTAAAAGAGTTTGCGAGAAATATTTGATTGTGTTTGCTATGTCAACCCCGGATGGAGGGGGCATGACTCCTTGCATGAGCCGTAGTTGGTAGTCATATAGGCTGCGAATTTTGGCTGTAACTAAATTTCACAAAAAATTATCAATGGGAAATACATGGTACCGACCTAGATCCAGAGTCTACTATTGTTAGATATTATTTTTCCGAAAGAGGGCGTTTAACACTTATTTAAAGGACTAGTAAATTGCCTCCCATATGATGAAACAATCATAAAGGTTTTGTATATCTTTATAACAAATCGAATGCCAATATGTTGTTTTAATTGTTTTTTTCTGCCTTCCCCAATGCTATCCACCTAACTCTTTTCTAGGATCCTGTAGGGTGTGTGACGATCGATCTAACTAGTAATATAGTAGTTTATGTTATAAGGACGAAAAGGGCAATTCGTAGTAGTCTAAAAAAACTCTTTTTCGTCCGTGTTTCGCCTAATTAGGCATTCCAATGACCTGTCAAATAATTGCTGCCAAAGGGCAGGGCTGGTATACCTACGGGGGTAGTCTTCAATCTTGGACGCAATTTTTATTCGAAATAGTAGTTGCCAAACCTGTCAATTTAAGAAAAATGTATAAACTGTTTTTTAAAAATGACATTTTCATGGTAATCGACATAAAATAGGCAGTTTTTTAGGATAAAATATTTAAATTTAATCCATTATTCATTATCCATGGTCGAGACAAAAATATGGCGAAAAATCAATTTCTTATTCATTCATTTTATGACGCTACACCTTTGTTACTAAGATAGGTAGAAAAATGTTCTTATCTCGTTTGAATTCCAGAAGTTCAGTCTAGGCTAGAGTAATACGTGTATAAAAGTTATGAAACCCTGTAACACAGTGAAAGATCACACTATACAAAATAGTTACAAAAACAAGCTTTTGAGAAATGTTGTTCCGGAATAAAATATATCTAGGTATTTTTCATAAAAACCCAATGAAACAATTTACAGAAAAAAAAATCGAAATGGACCAATCAATATTTATTGTTCTGAAAGTAGGTGTGAAAATTGAAAATGACAAAATTAAAATGCCGCCGCCGCCGCCGCGTCTTACCGCTTAACCCCGGTATAGCCCAATTAGCTCTGTACTCTTTGAAAAAACGCCGACTTGTCGGCCCGCATTTGAAGCGCGATTTCCTTTTATAGTTATATTTTGTACTCTTTGATAATAATCTACTTTCCGCAGGTGTCAGACTACTGCTGCCAGACGTATCATTTCTATTTTAATCTATGTAATACCCATATTCATAGTAAAATCGATGTAATTGTTAACATTGATTTGTGTACCTAGATATCAGATAAAAACAAATCTAGAACCAGCGACATCTTGATTGAACGTCAATAGCCATATTTCTTGGTTTTACATTTTTTTAATGAAATTATTTTATGGACGTAGTAAAAATATTGTACACCACTTGTGTAAAAGTGATTTTTCACACTCGTAATGCAATAGACTGTGCATAATATGCTACATGGATATTAGCAATTATACGCACATAGATACTATAAAACGAAAAAGTATGCCATCGAGTTCAACTGAATAAATATATTTCATATCCATTCTACCTAGTAAGAACACGGTAAAAAATGAAATCCACCAATCAGAGTTCATATTTTGGTTACCCGTCTACTATTATTTTTTTAAATTTGAAATAAATGACATTTCTGTCAATCTAATTATCAGAATATTTTTTTTTTTTTTTAGTTATTGAGTTAAATATATGTAAAAATTATTTCGTCTAAATTCATAAATTTTAATTAAACTGTATAAAACTAATTGAATTACGAGTATTAAAATTAATAAAGGTGAAACCAGGGCGGTTGGCCGACATGCGAGAGGCCTGGATTCAAATTTGGGCTGGGGACTAATTAAATTAAATCTTCTTTTTTAATTTTTTTTTTTATAAATTATTAAAAGTCATAAATTATTTTAAAATTAGTTATTTTGTCTTAATAACATAAAATATTTTTTTAAATTTGTAGATTTTCGTTAGTGGGTCGTAGAAAAAGTATACTGTGCAACTCGAGTGGATTGTCCATATCCACTCTTTTTGCCCAGACTACTTATGTCAAATTCTATTTGATCACAGAAATCTTTAGCTGGTTCTTAATATTTAAATAGTTTGTTTCGTCCCACCCTTTTTTAATGCACTATTTCTTTCACAAATTAAATTTTTTTCTTCTTTTTATTCTCTTTTTTCTTTATGTTTACTTTTTGTTTCCTTTTTTTTCTTTAATTTACAGTTTTTTTATTTTTCTTTTGTTTGTTTTTACTATGGAGATATGAGGGTGTAATTTTCATTATTTCCTAGGGAATTAGGAATTTTTCATTTTCAGAATTTCCAAAAAATCTGCATTTGGTTTTCGGATCTAAACCGATTTTTCTCATTCACTTTCCTTCATTTAATAAAAATTTAGCATAGTGGAATGTTTAAAGGAAGAAAATTAAAGTGATCCGTATTTGAGAAATTTGACAAATAGTGCAAAATTTGAATTTTTAAGAAAATTATTTAAATAAAAGTGGGTTGCGATATAATTCTGTATAATTTTTGTTCTATATATTTCTCTAAAATGGACGATAATGGATAAGTTTGACGAAAAGTGTAAAATTTTAATTTTTCAGTATTTTCGAGTAAGATGTGTGTATGTGGAAAATATATTATGTATTTAGTTCATCCTCTAACCATTTACAGGGGTGATGCAATAGGTTGTGAAAAATAACCGTAAAAATCCTGTAATATCTGATAGGAAAGTCATGTGTTGGACACATCAGATTAAACAATATTAAATATTTTATAGTGTAAAAACTGTAAAAATTGAAAAATATATTGATATATTATTTCATTATAACACACTTCTTTATATATACGTCTTTCTTTTCATATCAACCAGTTTGTACCTATTACTCTCTAGATGGATTTTCTAAAAAGTTAATTGAAATATCATATTTGCCAACCCTGGTTATGAGCCTTGGTTCACAAATAACTACTTACTCTTCTAATTTCGCATAATTTTTCTGAGCTACAATAGACTATCGTGTAAAAGCAGATAGTTTATTGAAAACTAATTGTTATCGAAATATGAGACACCAAATATTAAAACGTTAATTGAACAATGGATTATTTATTGTCATTATAGATATTTATATAGGAATAATAGAGTGATTAATTATACAGCAAATATACTAGCACGAAATTAATGTTTAACGGCAATTAAATATGTTTGTACCTACTTAATATTTTGTTGATAAGTACAGACGAAAAATACGATTATTTCATTATAATAAAAAGAAATTTAACTATTGGTGTCATAAATTGTAAACAATAAAAACACTTATCGAACCGGATTTATAGCGCCTCGACATATACGAGGTATGGTCAAATTTAAACTGGAATAACTACGTAAAGTACGTAAGTAATACCAATTTAATTGGTATATCTCGAGGTGCTATAAATTAGATTTTTTACGTGGTAGTATAAATCAGATTTTGATACATCTGCAAGATATTGTTAATGTAATAAAATAACATATGAGGGATGAAAAATTCGTGCAAATTCAACAATAGACAATCTTTTAAAATAATACACATCAATGTTCACAGATATAAGTGGTTCGTAATCAAACAACAAAAAACAATAAAATACTCAATAATTAACAAATAGATCAAAAACCAGTCAAACTTTGTGAGAATAAATCCCCACAAAGTACTATATTAAGAAGGTTAAGGTTTATAACTACAAGTGAGAGTTGTGCAACACATTAGAAGTTATCCTGACACTCATTTCAAATTCCAAAAGTCTTATAAATAATGAGGTTAGAAGAAAAAGAGAATAACAATAAAAAATATGAAAAGAAGGGAAAAATTATATTGGAAATCAAAATGATGGAAAATACCAACCTAAAATAAAGTACAGCTAAAACATAATTAAATAGACTGATTAAATCAGAAAAATAAAGCAAAAGACTAGTTTTTCATCAGGAAAATTGTGACAGCTGTAGTTATCCTGCGAAATGGTTTTTACCCATAAAAAAATGGATTGTTTGTATCATCATAAAACATTGACTATGTTGAAAAGTTTTTCTACTTTCCGAACAGTCTTGGTAAAAGTGTAGTAGCACTGCATAATTCTCACACCATAGGAAGGCAACGCACATTTAAACATTTTTTGATGCCTACGGTATATTAAAATATTGTAAATTGTTTGTTGCATTGCACTTACAATTCGTTAAACGCCCTACTTTCTTGATATAGCGGTTCTACCATTAATTTTGTACCATGCGCCACTTAGGTACCTACCATGCCAATATCAATTTCATTTATTTTCGTGTCAAATGGTTTATTTTTTGTTTTTATCAGTATCAGTACCTAGGCAGTGATAAATGATGGAAATTTAGCCATTCAAAAGTGTGTTCTAATTTAAGTAAATGTTTAAAATAATCATTAAAATTATTTTCCGTCCAAAAAATACATGTTTCATTAAATATGTTTGTTTGGCACACATTAGTATTTTAATTTGAAAACATATTATCTTATATAATTATTATCAATTATATTATTAGTTCAGTTCGTTAAAAGCAAGGGGTTACGGAAGAGCCAAATAAAAATGGAGGTTGAAATATTAAAGAAATCCTAACTCAAATACGAAAAATTTTATAAACTCTATAAAGGGTCGAGGCCTACTGATTTTGAAAAACTGAATAAAAATGGGGGGTTGAGAGGGGTTTAACTATTTAAAAAAATCCTAACTCAAAAATGATATCAACTAGAAATTCAAAAAAAAAATCAAGCTATATAAGGGGACAAAGCCTATTGATTTTGAAAAAAAAAACTGAATAAGAATGGGAAGTTAAGAGGAGTTTATATATTTAAAAAAAAAATCATAACTCAAGAAAGAAAAACTTCACATTAAAAAAATCAAGCTACATAAGGGGATGAAGCTTATCGATTTTAGAAAACCTGATTAAAATGGGGGGTTAAGGGGGGTTGAAATTTAAAAAAATCATAAATCTAAAACGATAAACTTGAAATTTTCAATAAAAATCAAGTTTTACAAGGGGACAAGGTCTATGAATAAAGGGGATTGAATTTAAAAAAATAAATCAACAAAAAGCGATATCAACTTACGAAGGGACGAAGTCTATTGATTCTGACAACAACTGAATAAAAATGGGGGTTAAGGGAAGTTAAGGGAAATATTTAAAAAACTCAAAAACGAAAAATGATATTAACTATAAATTTTTTGTAAAAATCAAGTTTTATAAATGGACGAAGCATATTGATTTTGAAAAAATCTGATTAAAAATAAGGGGGGTTGAAATTAAAAAAAAAAATCATAAATCTAAAACGAAAAACGATATCACCTTGAAATTTTCAGTAAAAATCAAGTTCTATAAGGGGAGGAAGCCTATTGATTCTGAAAAAAAAAAAAATGAATAAAAATGAGGGGGTTGAACCATTTAAAAAAATTCTAACTCAAAAACGAAATATTATATCAATTTGAAATTTTTGGCTAAAAATGGGAGATCAAGGGGGTTGAAATTTAAAAAATCATAAATCAAAAACGAAAAGCGATATTAACATATTTTTTGTAAAAAATATTATTTTTTTTAATATTAAATTAATTATTAATTAAAAAGGGCTCTCACATAATAGTTAAGCAATAAATTATACAGTAATACTTAGTGATTACAAAAATAATGTAGTCTAAGAACACATTTTTGATTGATATATATTGATAAATATGGTTGAACCTATTTTAAAATCGTGTATTTCAATAAGTTTTTGAGATATCAATATTAGGTTTTCACTGAACATTTTTAAAAATAATTAAATTTTTTGGGCATATTTCAGCTTTATGCTGCAACTTTCGGTTACATTGGAAATAACCAGTGTTGTTCCTAGGGATTTTTGAATTGTACAACTTTTAATGTCAAAATTGTACACTTTTACGTTCGATTGTACAACCACTAATTAATCTTCTTTTTTATTGGTAGCCTATGGCCTACTACTTCCCGATGCTTAAAATTATTTTTTCTAGTTTAAAAAATATTTTCGATATAAAACAGTGTACTGGTTGGTTGTAAATGGCGCTAAATTTAAACTTTATTTTTTTTATTAATTTTAATGCATACGATTTGTTGAATCGTAGACTTTTTGAGCAGAAGTAAACCTAATATATACCAGATTTTACATAAATATTTAGCAACTTCAAATTGTACAACATTTTTACCATTTTTCAAAAGTGGGTACAACAGTACAACCACATAACTGATTGTACAACTTTTTCTAAAATTGTACAACCAGGAACAACACTGGAAATAACTATGATTTCATATCTAGCCAGTTTGAAATTCTATCAAATTTCAGGAATCCATATGAAAGATTTGACAATATTTCTGTACTCTATGAATTCTATGCACTATGTCAACAGGGCCATAAACTGTATCATAAAAATTAAAATTACTCAAATCAGGAAATATTCTAATAACATTTTTGTTAAAGTTGGAGGAATATGTCCATATGGGTAGAGCATTTTCAGTTTCATATAAGCTTTTTGACCGCCCTATATATTTTTAGTTCCTCTTTCGAAAATGAATTTAAAACAATTTTTTCTACATCCACATGGATATTTGCTTATCTACACACATACTACAAAACGAAAAAGTATGCTATTGTGTTCAAGTGAACGGATATATTTCATATCCATTCTAGGTAGTGAGAACACTGCAAAAACTGAAATCCACCAGTTGATATTTTGGTCAATCGACTGCTATTATTTTTAAAATTTTAAATAAGTTACAATTCTGTCAAACTATTTGTCAGTATATTTTTAGTAGAATCGATAAATAATTACGAGTATTAAACCAAAAATAGTAAGCGTGTAGATGGTGGTGAGTTCAGAGCACTTGCCTTTCATGCGGAAGGCCCGGGTTCAAATCTCGGATAGGAACAAATTAAATTGTTTTTTCCTTGTTTATTTTATATTAAAAATTAGTAAGTCATGTAATTAAGCTAAATTAGCTTGTATGGATTAAAAAATAAAAAATGAAAAAAACATAATTTTTAAATTTGTATAGATAAGAATAAGTTCTTGACCGTAGCAGAATTTTATATAAATAAAAATTTCCTTGGTTTATTCGGTCTTTTTACTTTCCTATCCGTATACAGATATAAGGAAAGTATAGGAATCATGATTTTTTTCGACCTCGAGTTTTCGACGGATTTTTACGTTTTGAGGTCCCCTGAATCCGTTATGACTATTATCGCGATGATGTGTGTGTGTGTGTGTGTGTGTGTGTGTGTGTGTTTAAACTTAAGCTTTATTCCATCGTCCAATGAACTGATTAGTTTTTGGGCAGAGTCGGAACATCTGGGGGGGTACTTTATAGGTGGTCATTTTTAAATTTTATGGAATATGTCTGTTATTTATGTTTGGAGAAGAAAATTGTTCAAATAAAAGTTACTTCTAATATTATTATCTATAATTTTTGTTTTATGTCAAAATTTCCTGAAATGGTCCGTATTCGAGAAATTTGACAAAATGTGCAAAATTCTGATTTTTATGAAAATTGTTGAATTAAAAGTTGTTTGCGATATCGATCTCTATAATTTTTGTTTATATATGATTTTTCTAAAATGGACTGTAATGGAAAAATTGGAGAAAGAGTGCTAAATTTCAATTTTTCAGTATTTTCGTTTTCAATGAATATCTATAGAAAAATGTCGAGGTAGATGTATGTGGAAAATGTATATATTTAGTTTATCTTCTAAATATTTATAGAGGTTCTGCAATAGGTTGTACAAAATAACTGGAGAAAGCCTATAACTAGATAGGAAAGTCATGTGTTGGACACATCAGATTTTTTTATTTTCAATTGTTTAGCACACTACATATGTTTCGAAAACAAATTAAAACATTTTTAAAATAACAGAAACCCTATCTTTCTGTTTCATCGTGTGAAATTTTTATTTATATAAAATTATTTTAAAAACCAGACATTGATATCGACATCTCAAATATTTTTTGAGATACATACATATAAAATAAGTTCAAATATACTTGTTAATTGTATCTGGTGTAAACAAATATTTTATTTAAACTTTAAACTAGAAACGTATCCTCAAATACCCTCCTTAATTATTATCTAAAAAAAATCAATTCGTTTTCATTTTCAGAGCTATTTAATTTTTTTTTGAGTAAATTCTTTCTTAATAACCTATATATGAAATTGGCTTATATTTCTAGTAACACATAGTAAAACCTACACATCGTTTAATATTGAACACCTAACATATCATGCTCAACATTTAAACATACCTTAAATTATATGGAGAAAAAAGTTTCTTTTCCTAAATTTCATCATCAACAATTTTTTCTAGGTACAGTAAATTTTTTAAAACCAACAAAAATGTTTGATTTCTTTAAATTCTATATTAATCTGCTTTTAGAAATTCAGATAGATATACTTTTTTATAAAAATATGTTTTCTTTTTATTAGGATTAGGTAGGTTTTACTTGAAGATGATTTCAGTGTATGTAGTGTAAAATAAAAAAATAATCATCAATTAATGGGTCTTAATCCAGTTTATCAATAAATAACATATTTTTAGGAAAAGAAACTTAATAGTAAGTAAGTAGTAAGTTTGGTTCTGGTCGGCACTTGAAAATAAGCAAAATAGTTACGCATAATAGACACATAAATAAAATAAAAAAGAAAATAGAAAATAAGAAATTGTGGTTTAAACATATAAGGTAAAAGTATCTTACATGCAGCAGCCCTTGTACCCATGTTGACAATGCAGTCACAATAATCAAAGGCAAGGGATACACTGAGGTCACATTGTTTAAAACGTGCGGGTATCTTCAACATTGGGGGCAGCTTCGTTATTCCATTACAGATCAATAGTGGTAGAAAGTAAAGAATAACTGAAAGACTCTACAAGAACATAAGAACACGTGGCTAGACCCCAACATCCTGGTGATCAATAACATCTTTACTTTATAATATATACTTTTAATATATACACTCGCGAGCGGGTAATTTACCTACTTATGATGCTTACTTACATCGCATGTTTTGAATAGAACGCATATTTAATAAACCTGCGGTTGTGATGTACATTGGTCTCTATTATTTTATTAACAGTCTGTGATCGATATAGCGTATCTTCCGTACGTGCGCTCACTGCTCTTCTTCCTCAATCCTCAAGTTTTAAATGCTACATATAGCTGAGTCAGCAACAAATATTACATCTAACACTTTCCATTTAACTACTCAACATCGACCAAACACTTCTAATCATCCGATTAACAACTGATTAACACCCAAACATCAACAATAAAACAAATTTCATTTCAGATTGAATCAAATCATTAATCTTTTTTTGTTTCCAAGAATCCAAATCGAGAAGAAAGGTGGTTTACGACAATGATTAGTGCAAAATCAAAGTAAAACATAGATTTTTTCTGCCTTGCAACTTACACCAAAATTTAGTTATAAATTCACTGATAATTTTGTTAGGTTTTTCGTTACCACGGTTCAAACACTAACTATTACGCGATTTTGATGGATTTTTAGCAAAATTGGCAACTGAATGATGTTGTATATATATGGAAAACGGCGGCGCATGCTTTCGCGTTGTCGGGGGCGGGATTTTATCTTTTCGATCCGCTTTGCCTCCCTTTGGTCCAGTTGTATTTTACCACTCAAGTGATCAATAAATACATCCAGCTAGATATTTCAGTCAACTCAGCTGATCTCGGGCTCATCAAAATACCCATTCATGGACCCCCTTGAACCACGTAAGAATATTTACAATTAATTATCTTATTAATTTGTTTTGTCGAAATATTTTATATGAATATTAACTTATATTAATCATAAGGCATGGCTATTTTTTATTTTAATATTTCGTACATTATATTTGAATTTTTAAGAGACAATGCACCCAGGGGCAGTGGCACAGCCAGAAAATGGGCCTACCTCAATATAATATTTATAATACTTGCTCTTTTAATACAAAATTGTTATAAATACATACATTATAAGATTTTTCATGTGTACACTAATATTAGGATGTTATGAACCTTGGCAGGTAACATATCTCAGGGTACTTAAAAATATCAGGCACAAACATTATAGTATGAAAGCTGATTTTTTAATATGTTCAACTGGATAACATTATAATAATTAAAGGTGGGGGTAACCGTATAAGTCATTTTTGTCTCACAAAGTTATTTTTTAATGAGCACCTAAATGGATAATTATGAAGTCAACATTTTTAACGTGTAATCTGTCTTCCACTTCTTCAAATTAACCCCCCCCCCCCCGCTCAATGCCCAGTGAAATCCACCATAAAATGTTTTAATAACGACATTCTTATTTAAAATATTTTAAATTATAATTTTTTTTAGAATGCTTAACTATTTGAAACAATTTTATTATTTTACTAAAAAGTAAATAAACTATGACAATATTTAGATTGGGTTTAAAATTATAGAAAACGTAGAAAGTTTCTATCATTAATTTAATATAAAGTGCTAAAAAAGTATTTGTTTCTTTAAAACAAGATAGATCTTAGGCTAATTATTTGTAAAATTCATTATTAAATAATCTATAGGACAATGATAAACCATAATTATACTTTTCACACAGTAGGCTGTGAAGAGTATTACCAGGTTTACTTTCAAGGAACTAAAAGTTTTAATATTGATCCAAATTTAAAAATATTTGTGCCAAAATCATTAGCATCAAATTTTAAAGAATTTGAAAATTTCAGCAAAAATCAAGTTCTATATTGGGACGAAGCATATTGATTTTGAACAAATCTGAATAAATGGGGGGCTAAGGGAGGTTGAAATATTAAAAAAAAATCTTGACTCAAAAACGAAAAATGATATCAACTTGAAAATTTCAGGAAAAATCAAGTTTTATATTGGGACGAAGCATACTGATTTTGAAAAAATCTGAATAAATGGGGGGCTAAGGGAGGTTGAAATATTAAAAAAAATCTTGACTCAAAAACGAAAAATGATATCAACTTGAAAATTTCAGGAAAATTCAAGTTCTATATTGGGACGAAGCCTATTGATTTTGAAAATAATCTAAAAAATATGGAGAAGTTAAGGGGGGTTGAATTGAAAATAATATCAACTTGAAATTTTTGGTAAAAATCAACTCTTTAAGGAGGCAAAGCCTACTGATTTAAAAAAATATGATTAAAAATGGGGAGTTAAGGGGGTTGAAAGTAAAAAAAAATCGTAAATTAAAAACGAAAAATGATATCTACTTGAAATTTGTAAAAAAATCAAGCTCTATAAGAAGAAGCCCTTTGATTTTGAAAAAATCTGATTAAAAGTTGTGGGTTTAAGGGGGATTGAAATTTAAAAAATCATAAATCAAAAACCAAAAGCTATATCAACATGAAATTTTTAGTAAAACTCAAGTTATATAAGGAGATGAAGCATATTGATTCTGAAAAAATCTGAATAAAAGTGGAGGTTAAGGGGGTGTTGAAATAATAATAAAAAAATCGTAACTCAAAACCAAAAAATATCAAATTGAAATTTTTAACAAATATTAAGAGGACAAGGCCTATCCATTAAAAAAAATCTGAAATAAATAGTGAAATAAGGGGATGGAAGGGAGGAAGGGTTAAAATAAAAAAAAATAGAAATCAACTTGAAATTTCTAGAAAACTTCAAGCTCTATAAGGCAGTGTTGCCAATCTAGTACAGTTATAGTACATTCTCTAAGAATCTGTTACTCTAGTACACTCGAAGCAAAATCTAGTACTTTTTCTTCTCCAGCGTGCAGCAGTGTTGACGTGTAAAATATATATTGTCTTTCTTGTTTGTGTTCGTACTCTAGGTTAGGTTGAAAATGAGTGGGATGATCTTATCGCCTTCCACTGCGACCCAGATGGATCTATTGTGGCTCATGACTAACTTATAGTTCACCGTACAAGCCACACCTTTTAATGAAGGCCACGGTTGAATTGGGTGAGACTTGTTTATAGTCGGTAGGCTCCAGTCGGGTAAATCCGAAGATCTGGAACCTAGTTATTTCCAGAGCGGAGCAGGTACATAGAATGTGCATCGACAGTTCGATGTTTGTTGCAGACCTATCCTTCTCATGTGGTTGCCAGACGGCAGTATCCTGTCATCAGTCTAGTGAAAATGCGTAGATCTTTCCTACACTAGTCTCGGATCTGAGCAGAGGCGTTCATAGAAGGGTTAGTTATAAACGCCTTCAAATGAGTTAGCCCTGGGGTATCTCGCCAGTTCGTGAGTGTTGCACCCTCCGTCCATTTTGAGATAATTCCTTTGACAGTGGTCTTTGCAATGCCCAGGAATGGTTCTGGTCCTATGAACATAGATTCGGTTCCTCTTTTAGCAAGCGCGTCGGCTTTTACGTTGCACTCCACACCACTGTGCCCCGGAACCCAGATCAAAGTAACTTTGTTCCGAGCATTCAAGGATATTTATATAGTTCCAAACCAGCTTCGAGTCAACTCGATTGGAGCTCAGGGCCTTAAGGACTGCCTGGCTATCTGAAAAGATCTTTATAGTCTTGTTTGCTCCCAATTCTATAGCAATCATTTCTGCTTGGAAGATCGTGGTCAGAGAGCCTAGGTTTATTGATATGTCAACTCTAGGCCTCTGGCCGAAAACTTCCGCTTCTACTCCTTTTTCAGTTTTGGAGCCGTCCTTGTACAACGCATAGTCTGCCTGGGAGAGGGTTTTTCCCCTCTGCTCCATGCGTCTCTCTCTGGGATCAGGACGCTGTATGGCTTTTCTATGTGCTGTCGGGGAACTAGCGAGTCCGAGACCATACCGAGGATGGGGTGGTTATTAATTTCATTCATCAGCCTTGTCTTGTCCCATCGCAGTTCTTCGTAGTATTGACTACCCACCTTCAGGAGTCTATAGGAGACCATTCGGGCTTCCCTTTCCAGCAGAATGTGGAGAGGGGTTAGGTCCAGCATGGTTTCCATGGCTCCCGTAGGTGTAGTTGACATTGCTCCAGTTATGACTAGGCACGCAAGCTGCTGTATTCCAGCCAGCTTTTCTCTGGCCGTCCGTTGAAGTCCCTTGTCTCACCAGACGACAGAGCCGTACGTAACCATGTGTTTTACCACTGTTTGATAAATCCAGTAGATCAGTTGAGGACTGATCCCCCATGCTTTGCCGCATATCCTTCTAAGGGTCCAGAGGAATAATCTGGCTCTTTTTATCCAATTGAGGGTTCCAGGTAAGTTTCTTATCTAAGGTGATCCCAGATATTTCACCTCCTCCGCAACAGGAATGGTTTCCCCAGCCAAGGTAGGTTGTCGAAGCTTGTCGAGCTTTCTTCTCTTCTCTGTTAAACTGTGAAGAGTATAATATAGAATGCCAAGCAATAAATATAGTAGAATTTCTAAAGTACTAATAATACTTATACTATATTTAAAAAAAATCCAAGATCAACAATGTAATAAATTCCCTAAGCGATCCACAAAAAATGTTTCTAGAGTAGGCCATGACCAACAAAGAAAGAAAAACGATTCATGTCCGTGATAACTACGCACGGCTCTAAATTAAATCCAAACTGACACTCAAAAAGAATAAGAATTGTACGTTCCAAGGTATACTTTAGAAACATTTTTCGCGGATAACTCTATACAGTAGGTTTGTTCTCGAAGCAAGTTCCAAACTTGTTACTAACATTATCTGATACGCATGCGTGATCAGAATAATGTTCTGAATGAATTCCGAATAAATGTGTGCTGGAACGTTAATAAAATAAATGTGGCTGAGTGTTTTAACTAAATACAAGTCGTTCTATTAAATTTATTAAAAAAAGAAAATTTTATGTTCAACTCAAAATTGCTCAAATAAAAACAACCCTCCTTATTATATGTTTTGCTGTTACAACGCTGTAAGATTTTAATCTAAATTAAAGATAATGGCACCCACAAAAATAATCAAAAATCAAATTAAAAACAAAGGAGAAAAAGAAGAAAATGATTTGAAATAAGCACCTATGCGAGAAAGTAAAAGTTTGTATTTTATTTAGGAATTATTAGAACTAATAACAAGCATGTTATGAACATGTTTTTATTCTAGCGGGAACACCAAACAAGTTCAATTTGTTTGGAACTTTCCTCTGCTGGAACAGTTATTTTGAACTCAATATGTTAGGAACTCGCTTAGGGAACAAACCTATTTCTTGATAATTTTTTTATAGAATACTTCTACTATGCCACTAATAAGTAAGAGCTGTACAAAGTCAAAATTGGATACATGATTGTGTTACCCATACTTGTTCCTTAGTTTTCAATATATTTTCAGCAACGGCAGAATCGGTGGATGAACTCCGTTTGAGGTTAAAAAACATGCGGCGGCTCATGAAAGACAGGATTGGACCAGGCGATTACAATGAGGACAGGAGGAAAGCCAGCGTTGGAGTTATTGATGGAAATTTTCTCAGTGTCACATTCGGAACTGCACTAGTCGTTATCATGTCTGTTAGCATTTATGCGTTTTATAATTTGTATATTGCAATTATGAAGAAGTTCCCGCAT